ATATACATGCAGTTATATAGTTTGGAGCACTTTCTTTTCCTCTCTTTTGTACCATGACTATTACACATTTTGGGTTTCATTGCTCCCACGGTTCTTATTACTTTTTTGGAAGAGAGTAAAACCAAATGTGACATAACAGAACAGAATCGGTCAAGTCAAAAGGGTGGACATAATAGATAATGTAAAAACATAATACAAGGTGATCAACAATGGTTACTATAATGCCTCCCGCTATCTCTAATAGAATTGCCTATATCGTTAGTTATAATACAATTGAACAAAACAGTAAAGAATAAAACCAACAAAACCAAAACATTGGAGACATTGTAGGTCTTCAAAAGTAGATAAAAGTCAACAAGAATGGGCGTCATAATGAATCTCATTATCTTCACAGCTGATGCCTAAACTTTCGAACCTGATACTATCCAGCAAAACAGAATAGGGGAACATCAGTTAAAAACCAGATGGTGAGAGTAATACAGGGCTTTAAATCAAAGTAATGAAAAGTCAAAGTGGGTTACTATAATATATCCTGCTATTTTTTTCCTTTAATTAAAAGGATAAAGATAAAAAAGTAAATAATGGAGTGGAGATTGAGATAAAAGAGGGCATAACAACGAAACAGCGCAGATCAAAACATAACCATTTAAGCAGAATAGTGTTTCACCACCAGATAATTCTAACCTAAAAGTAGTTACTATATTGTCTTTTTTTGAAATCCTTGAGTACAACTTCGTATACTGTAGCATTAAGTATATCAAAACGATGTAAAACCATTCAAGAGAATGACAGCATTACAGAGTATTTAGAATTGACTAACAGAAAATGAATAATGGTTTCTGTATAATCTCCTTGTCTTTACAAGGTTTTTGCTTATACTATCGTACATAATAAAATCCAGTAAGATACAACCTATTTAGACCATTGGAGACAGAAGGACAAAAGCTAGATGAGACTTCAAAACAAGATGATACTAAATCAGTATTACCTATTAAGATGTCATTTTCTCCAAAATAGCTATTCCTATCATCCAATCTTCTCTGCCTCATTTCTGTTGAGCTCTTTTTCTGTCAGTAGCTGTCAGTTTGTCTTCTTCATTTTGTTCTCTGCTCCATTCGTTGTGGCCTCCCTGCCATTATTTCTGGATTCTTTGTATTTTTCTTTTTTTAGAATATCCTGCAATACTCTCTGTAGAGTTGAATTGGTGGTTGCAAATTCCCCCAGTTCCTCTTTATCCTGGAAGCACCTTGTTTTTCCATCAATTTCCAGGGACAGTTGTGCAGGATATCTCAATCTTGGCTGGAGATTATTATCTTTCAAAGCTTGAATTATTTCCCCCCATGCTCTTCGTGATTTGATGGTTTGTGCCGAGAAATCTGCTGTAATTCTGATGGGTGTTCCCTTGTAAGTGGTCTGTTTCTTGTCTCTGACAGCTTTTAATATTCTGTTCTTGTATTGAATTTCTGGAATTTTTATTATTATATGCCTGGGTGTTGGTCTGTTTGGGTTGTAGGTAGCTGGGGTCCTGTATGCCTCATACATCTGAGTATCTTTACCTTTTGCTAAATTAGGAAAATTCTCCTGGATTATTTCTGTGAGTAGCTTTTGTAGTTCACTTGTTTGTGTCCCTACTTCTTCTTTTATGTTCTTAATCCTTAAGTTATGGATCCTCTTATCATCTTCTTGTCTTTGTATTATTGCTGTTTGTTTCTTTGTTATTTTTAAGAAGTTTTTCATTTCATTCTCCCATATTACAAGTCTGCCCTCCAGTTCAGATAGTCTGTCCTTAGTTTCTTTCAAGCTGTTATGCCAGTCTTCTATAGACTTCTTGGTATCTTGGTAGTCCCTTTGAACCTGCTTCACGTATTCTATGGTTTCTCTGTTTTCTCCATCAAACAATTCTCCCCTTTTTTTCTGTTCTTCCATTCCACCGCCTGTTTTTTCTTGGGTGGTACTTAGCATTTCTCTAACTATTCTGCATACTTCTAGCTTCAGGTCGTTGATAACTTCATTCCTGAATTGGTCTATAAGGCTCTCTATATGGTGCCTTATGTATATTGGTGCGGTGTCTGCTATTGCCTGTTTCTCAGAATTGGGGGCCGAGGAGCCTTTCTTGTTGCTGCCTCTTCCCATGCTGCCTCTTCTTCTCTGTTCCTTATATATGCAAGCTTATATAAGAGGCCCAGCTTCTCTCCCAGTCAGCCACAGCCTGATCGAATTGCGCCAGTTAGGTGTTCCCGCTCACCGCTGCGCACCAGGGAGTTACGGACCAGGCAGCCTACGCGGGAGTCGCCCCTCTGGGCCACCGTCAGGCTCTGGGATCTGGGTTGGGACAGCCTACCAGGTCCGCCGGCAGCGTCACGCAGGCCAGGCACTTTTCACCAATCCCGCCCAAGAGGGGGATGTGTGGCTGGAGTCGCCACCACGCCCTGCTCCCGCAGGACTGCTCGGGCCCAGAAAGTCCTCCGCTGGAGTCAAACTGTGGTAGAGTGTCAGTTTCTCTCACTCACCTCACCACAAGTCAGTGCACGCCTCCCTGCCGTTCGCAGATTGCTGTTCTCAGAGTTTCTGCATGTCTCTCTCCTTGCTGAGCCACTGTAAAGGCAGCCAGCCGCCGCGCGGCGGGAAACCCAAATAGCGGCTTACAGTGGCGCGGGGTCCAGCTCCACACCGAGGCTTTTCTGTTCCTGTTTTAGCACCAGGACTGCATTCCAAGTTGGTTTCTCTCAGCCCAGTTCGTTCCTGAGTCAGCAGAGCATATCTCCACCTGCTTATGTCTCCTTAGTCCGCACCATTCCTGGCTTCTGAGCCGAGTCTTTCAGAGAGCCTCCGGTAGTTGCTGTTATCTGTCCGCCATGTTCTCCCGGAAGTCCGCAACTTTCACAGAAGGATTCTGAATTATGAAAAAGAAAATTAGAAGGTTAGGATCGGGATTTTAGTAAAAGAACTGTAGTAAAGATAGAAGCCTTTTGTATAGATGAGAAACTCAGATTAAAATAGTGTAGTAGCTTATTAAAGGTCATGTGTTTGTGAACTAGAAGCTAGTTCCCCTAATTACCAGCTGGCAATAATATGTTACAGAATCCTCATTCAGTTTAGGATAGTTTCCACCCTATGTGTTTGTATTTTTTTCTCTTTCAAACTCTCCCTGAAGGTTGTATTATTTTGCTATATTTAATAGTAAAGTAGTTATTATTTAAAAAAAAAAAAAAGCAGTCTGTAGTGGTACATGCCTGTAATCTCAGCACTCCTGCCTGGAAAACTTACTAGATCTTATAAAAATATTTTTTTAAAGTGCTGGAGGTGTGCAACGGCAGATGTGGGGCCATGTGAAGACGTGTGTGGTATAGGCAAGGACCCTGAAAATAAAACAGCCACTGCCTGTTGAAGGACCTTTTCTAGGCCTACATCCAAGTCTCTGCCTCTGCAGGTCCACTCAGACACTGAAGATTTGTCTGCAGCAATGAGTGCTTCAAGTATAGACAGTGTAGACAGTGTAGATAGCCCCATCGGGCCCAAGAACGCACCCTAGTGATGGAGGAGGTGGTTGTGGAATGAGAAGCCGTGGAAGCGGTTTCCAGTTTGTTTCCTCATCTCTTGCAGACATCTGTTATCACTAATAGGTCTAATCATCTTGCCAAAGATTATGGTCTTCAGGAAGAGGCCTACTATAACTGCCACGGAGGTGACCACATCACCAAGGACTGCAAGGAGCCTGAGAGACAGCGAGAGCAGCTTCTACAATTGGCAAATCAAGCCATTTGGTTCGCCACTGTCCCCATGCAGATGAGCAGAAGTGCTATTCTTGTGGAGAATATAGACACATTCAGAAAGACTATACCAAAGTGAAGGGCTATAGGTGTGAGACTGGTCACATAGCCATCAGTGCAGCAAATGGGTGAGGTCAGCTGTTACCGCTGTGAGGAGTTGAGGCATCTTGCGTAGGAATGCACGATTGAGAGTACGACCTAGTTATTTTCCTTTGTCATCCTCCTTTTTTGATTGAAGATTGTATTATTTTCTCTAAATCCATTTCACAGGCCAAAAGCTGGCATGTAGACGCCAGTAAGCTTTCCCTGCCTTGTGCAAGGAGGAAATCAGTAGGAGAAACAATTTTCTTCTTTTAACTGCAAGAAGTTTTTTTAGTTTGATAGAGGTATTGTATATAATGCTTTGTTAAGGAGCCCCTTTCACACCCTTAGTGAATAGGGATTGACGAACCAGAAGAGTTGACAGACTATAAGCCCATCTGGGCTGTTGAATATGTTCTCATGTAAGAGGTAAAACCAATTCCAGAAGTATCTATGAACTTCCTTAAATAACTTAATAGCATAATGATAGCCTTGGATTGTCTGACCTCAGTAGCTATTAAGTAACATCTGTATTAGACCCTCATAGAACATACAGTTGAGTGGAAATAAAAGGACAAATGTACACACTAATGGTTGTGCAAGACAGCTCAGGATAGGCACCTCAACTGAACACCATCACAGCATTGGTGATAAACATAGCAATGAGGAAAAAGTTTAGAGCACAGATTTGAAAGACTAAAACCCAGAGTAAATATTTATGCTTAGTTAGCATAATTTGGAACCATTCAGGAATTGCAGAGAAACACATTTTCACAGAAATCAAGTAGTTATTTTTTGTATACTTACATCACTTAGTTGTTTCATTTGCCATAATCAGTTTTTAAAAGTCAGATAAAAAAAGTAACTGAAGTCCTAGAAAATAGAAAATCTAATTTTAAACTATTCCAGTATAGCTAGATCAGGAAGGAAAAAGTGCTTGGGATGTAGCTCAGTGCAGATCCCTGGGTTAAAGCGGGGAGGGGCGGTTGGTATAATTATGTAGTGAATAAAGTTACCAGGGAGAGGTGGTTCAGAAACACCACCATTTTTTGGTATTTTTTCAACATTTCTATTTTGTGTTCACATTTAAACATCATCTTGTTGGTGTTCATCTGTTACTTGTAATCAGCAATTAAATCTGTTTCACAGATGATAAAGAGGTCTGGAGAGAGTGAAAGCACTGCCAGAGATCACGGTGTTTCAAGGATGAAGCTAACTGTAGGTCAACAAACTCCCAACACTAACTGGTTTTGTAAATAAAGCTTTACTGGAACATAGCCATACTCGTTTATTTATGTATTTGTTATTTGGCTGTTTTCAGGTGCAACAAGAAAGTTTAGTGATAATGACAGACTTGATGTGTTGTAATGCCTAATATTTACTCTCTGGCCATTTACAAAAGAGCTTGCTGACCCTTATTACTGTCACCTGGTTCTAGTTCTTTCTATGTGATAGAGTGCAAAGTGAAAATTGCTTTTCAAACTGCCCTTCACACATACCACACTTAATGAGAAGGAATCTGTGTTTATGGGGGTCTTTTCTCATAGAACAGATATTCTAAACCTGCCAGTCTACAAAAGATTTGAGTGAGTTTTTCTGGGCAAAAGAGACAGACCTTCAAGAGAATTAATTGGTAAAGCTGTAGAAACCAGATACCAAACACCATATAGTAATGGCAGATGGGATTAAATGCATGATGAGTGCAGTTTAAAACAGTGCTCCCTGAGTGTTTTTCACCCATCGTAGATACAGTGCAAAACTCTATATTAGTAATTCTCAAAGTCTGATCCCTGTATCAGCAACTCTCACAGGGCCTGGAAATTTGTAAGAAATGTACTTTCTCAGACTACCCAGACCTTCTGGGTCAGTACTTCTGGAGAGTAGGCCTGGCCATCTGTGTTCAAAAGACTTGCAGATGACTCTGATGCATACAGAAGCTTGAGAACAAGAATGGGAACTCAGCATTTACCTTTCTGGCAGATTCCTAGATAGTAAGATGTAAGCCAAGAAAAGACTTTTGTTTGTTTTATTTTGGTTTTCCTTTTTGGTCAGTAAGATCCTAATTAAGAATCATAATTCTCATGAGCATAAAATGGGCATTTTGAACAATTTTACTTCAAAGAAATACAAAGTACCATAGATGGGCTTGGAGGCTGTACCTGTAGTCCCAGCAACTCAGGAGATCGAGGCAGGATTGCCAGAGTGCACAAATGTAGTACTATCTTGAGTAATATGACAAAACCCATGTCAAGAATTTAAAGTACAGAGAATAATGAAACTGCCACAAGGATACCTGCCATCCAACGTTAGTAGATCTCAACATTTGTGCCTTCATTTTATTTTTTAAAAAATGAAGGTGCAAACACAGATGAAGCACCCTGTGTACTCTTCCAGAATTCTGTTCTTTCCCCAGCGAGAACCACTGTCCTGAATTTGGTATATGTCACATGCATACCTGTTTTTAGACTTTTTCTAGTTCTGCATACATCTGTAAAGAATATGTGATTATACATTTTCAGACTTCAGACAGCCTGATTTTTTGACAAATGATTCTGTACCTTTTTCTCTAAACATTATTGTTGAGTTAGCCTTATTGATAATCATCACTCATTTTCAGCATATTCAGAATGAAATTCTAATTATTTTTTACCAGCCATGTAAATATGCCACAATTTATTGCTCCATTTTCATTTATTGAGTCAAGGAATTATTCCTTTTCATAATCTAATACATGTTCCCATGTATATTGTACTGTGAAAGGATGTTTCTTGAGAGCAGAACTTTCAATAACAGCCAATTGAGGCACACATGCCATAGGTTTGCCGTTCCTGCTCCAGAATATGTGCGTGGAAAGGAATAGCTGAGAAATAATGTGTCTGGGAAGCTTCAGTAGACCATGCTAATTGCTTTCCTAATAACTGTCACTATTTACTCCCCTATCTGTAAGGTATAAGAGTCCTGCTATTCTCTGTTCTTATAAAATTCGACATTTTCACTTTGATTTTTGCCAGCCAGAGAGATATGAAATTACTTCTAATTTTTAAATTTATAATCCTCTAAATTCTCTTGAGTTTGAGCTACTTTTCATATTTGACATTTCAGGTTTCTTCTGCAAATTACATGTAATATCTTACTGTTTTATGTTCTTTAGCTTTTTACATAGATTTGTAAATACTTCATGTGTAATCTTTGTTAATACTTTTATGAGTGTATTTTGAGTTTTAGTTTGTAGCTAGATTTTTAGCCTAGTATATGGTTTTCATTGAGGTACCAAAATTCATAAATTTAATGTCATTTATCAAAGTTTTCCCTTTTATATTTACTCTTTTTGTATCATAAGAAAATCCCTATACTTAAGTCTCCAGATTCTTTGCTTTTTTATCTGAAGTTTTAAAGCTTTGCTTTGCACATTTAAGTCTATCTGGAATTTACTTTTGAATATTACACGAAGTAGAAATCTAATTTTTATTTTTTCCTTTCCACATAAATAGTTGTGCGCTTTTTCATTGATTTTATGTCATCTCTAAACTATGGCAACATTTTTCTGTGTGCATGAGTCTGTGTCTGGGCTCTCACATCTGTTCTTTTGGTCTGTATGTCCATCCCTGTGTCTAATCCACTTTGTTACTTCCTATGAATACTTACTAGCTGGTAAGTCACATTATCTTATTGTGACCTTTACCAGAGCTAGTCTGTTGTTAGTCATTCACTCTTCAAAATGAACTGTACACATACAACTGGCCTGTCAAATTCCATAAAAATCAGTTTTACAATTTTAATTGGTATCACTGAGTTTATTGAGTGCTTTAAAGAGAATTGACTTTTAATTCATGAACATGGTATATCTCATTTATTCCAGTCTTCTAGTGTTGCCTTCAAAAATGTTTCATAATTTTTTCTAAAAGGTCATGGATACTTTTTAATATATTTATTCCTAGGGATGGTATATTGCCTTTGTGAATACTAACATTTTTCTAATTGGTTATTTCTGGCATACTTTTCTTTGTGAATATGTCATTCACTCCTTTTTCAGTAGATGGCAGTAAAAATACATTAGGATTTCTTTATTAAGACTATTTTCTTTCCATTGAAATTAAAATGATCCATGTTTTGAAAGATACTGATTCTTAAATATTTCTGAGTGTCTCCCTTTGTTTCATTTAGGAGGATAAAAGAAAGCGAGATCGAGATCGTATGGAGAATGAGGCAGAAAAAGACTTTCAGTGTCACGCCCCTGTGAGATTAGATTTGCCTCCTGAGAAGCCTCTCACAAGCTCTTTAGCCAAACAAGAAGGTTGGAATAACTGAACTATCTATTTTGAATGAATAGACCACAGTTGTTATAGCTAGGAACTGGGCCTTAGCTCAGTTTTAAAAGACTTGTAGTGGATTTTTTTAAAGTTTTGTCCCTCTTACTCCATAAGAGTTTTAAATTAGCTTCAATTTTGAATTGATATTCTCATCTTCAACATTTTTAAGATAAATGGAATTTCTATATGAGATGTTCAGTAATGAATACAGATAAGTTATGCAGAATAAAAGCCAAATAGTACTGTCCAGAATGCTCCTTTCTTAAACATCCTTTTCCTGTCTTTGCTTTAGAAGTAGAACAGACACCCCTTCAAGAAGCTTTAAATCAACTGATGAGACAATTGCAAAGGTAAATATTTTTCCAACATTTTTATAAGGTAGAAATTGAAATCGTAACCTTAAAGAGTCCAAAGCACTTCTCCAGTTTTGATTATCTAAAACCACATTTTGTGGCCTAAATCCAAATACACTTGATTTTAAAGTGGATGGTAAATATTTTGGCTGGCAATAGAAAATACTCTTAAGAAGCTGACTTTTAGATGTTCTTACTTGGTTTGTTTTAACTGGCGGTTTGAAAGGTGTTACATAATACCCTTAATGGCAAATTTCTCTTTTTCTAAAGTGATTTCTGATGTTAAAACATTAAACCCAGGAATAACAGTACAGTTATTTCCACTTTACTAATAGATGGAGGTGCCTTCTGTATATTTATGCAGTCCTCATGCTGAGAGTATTAACTAGTTATTAAGTCAGAAAAAAATACCATAAGTAGAATTTCTGTCTTTTAAATACAGAAATTCATATTAAAATTTTCACTCTGGGTCGAGGTGTAGCTCACTAGTAGAGTACTTGTGTCGCATGTACAAAACAATTCAGTTCCCAGAACTGAGGAAGAAGAAAAGATTTTAAAAACTTTCAGTGTGTGAATTAAACCAATGTATAGCGCTTTAAAAAAGTACATCAGTCTTTAATAAAATACTGATTTTGATACTTCTCTTTACTCAGAATGTGTCCAATTGAGAAACACATTATTTTCAGAAGATTCATAAGACCATGCATTCTAATACCCTGGGCTTCCTTTTCATTGTATTGTATTTGTATCTTAATGTGAAACATCCTAAATATTTTTTAAAGTAAAGTGTCTAGAGCAGTCTGTATTCTCCACCACATGTTTAGCTTTACAATTAAGGCCAGAAGTATCTGGCCTTTCCTTTTGTGGTGTTCAAAGTGGTTGAGAAAATGACATCTTATTCATTAGTTGTGCCAAAGGAATGAACAAATAATTACTGGATATTTATTCTGTCTCAACTAGAAGGTATAACTACAAGATGTTTTGGTTAGCTCTTAGTTTTATTTTTGGTAACGTAACATCAGAATGGAGTTTAATAATGTCACCCTAAAAGGAAATCAACTTAAAGCATCCAAAGACAGTAGCATTGCTCAGAACATTTTGTGGATTATGTAGAATCCACATCCACATTCTTTGGACTAATGTGAGCTATCAGATGATTCTTCATCTTTGACTCTCGGAGCCAAACTTAGTGAAAAATGTAATTAAGTTTGGTAATTCTATTTGTTACCAAAATGAGGTAGGACTATATTAAAAAGACTAAATTTAGGGAATGTAAATAATTTCCTCTGAAAGATATTTGCAAAAGATCACCCATAGATGAACACTGTTTTTCAACTACTTTGAATAGTTCAAGTTTTGATGTGTAAGCCAGACTGGATATTTTTGCTGAAAAACTGTTGATTTTTAGTCTTGCTGTATAACGATCCTTCAGTGAGAAAAACACAGATTTACGTAGACCTGAACTCAGACTCTAAATCTTTTATTATATTTATATCCAAGAACAAATTACTTTTGCCTCTCTGAGCCTCAATATTTTTATCTGTAAAAGTAAAGATCCTACTACCTTGATGGCTTTTGTGAGGGTTACGTAAGTAGTATGTCAGATATCTACCACTGGACCAGCAATATGATAAACATATTTTAAAGTAGTTGCCTTTTTTTTTTTTTTTTTTTTTTTATCGGTACCAAGGATCTAACTCACAACCACCCGCTTGCAAGGCAGGCGCTTATGCCGCTGAGCTAAATCCCCAGCCCCTGTTGCTGTTTTTTAAAAAAATTTTGTTATTATTTGGAAAAGGAAAACTGGTGTGCTTTGGTATGATTTTGATACAGAGCCTTGATCTTCAAACCAGATAGTATTGAAAATAGTAAATATCAAATACCAGTATTTGGCTCTGGAAATAGCAATGTCATAAGTTTACCTTTCTTAAGAGATTGATTTGATGAGCCTAGAATAGCAGTGGCGAACATTTCAAAAATAACACACAGCCAGGTGCAGCATGTGTGGCTTAGGTTTACCACCACTGACCTACCCCTCATGATTGGACTTTTTTTAAAGTTCTTCACCTCTCAGCTGGAGTTGGAAACCTGTGATAGAAAGCACTGGTGACAGTGGTGGTAGTGATTTTTTTTAACAACCAAAGGTTTATATTTATTAAAGGTTGGAAAAGAAAGATGCTCCACAGCGCAAGTGCAGGCCACTTAAAGGTAGGGAAAGAGTAAGACAGAGTAAAAATGTCAGTGTTTTAGGCACCCTCATTTACACATGATAGAATTTATATCCATTAATTGATTGAGTACAAGACTATTAAATACCGAAGTAATAGATTACAAATTTGCATTCGTAATTACTCTGCCTTTTCCCTGATAGTTGATAAATACACACACATGCACAGTACTAGTCTTCCAAAGGCTACAACATTGTTAGCTAGTCTAAATTATTTATTTTACTTCATTTTTTCCCCAAGTAAAAAGTGTATTAAGTTTTTGTATTAAGGGTACTCTAATATGTAAAATATCTTAACCTTGTTATTAAATGGTTACTGGTTCTGAAAATCATTTTCATAGTTTTCAGTGAAAAGCTTGTTAACATAACATACTACAAATTCTTTCTACATCTGAAGGCTTTCTTCTGACTTCTGCTAAACCAGTAGATTTATTTGTAGTAGAAATGAAATGTAACGTTGTCTTTTGGTATCTTCACAGAAAAGACCCAAGTGCTTTCTTTTCATTTCCTGTGACTGATTTTATTGCTCCCGGCTACTCCATGATCATTAAACACCCAATGGATTTTAGTACTATGAAAGAAAAGATCAAAAACAATGATTACCAGTCCATAGAAGAATTAAAGGTAATTGTAATTATTTATAGTGTTATTGAACTGAGCAGTGATACAAAGTAACTTACATCTTTATTAAATTGATAGTCAAACCCTTGAAAATGTATATGCAAACTTCTGTTAGAAGTATAAATATTTGTATTCATAATAGTGTCATTGGCCTTTTTATTTTTCTTTTTTAGAAGACTTTTATGAGCTCAGTGATAAAAACTCAGATGAAATAAGCCCTTTGGTATTTTGTACTATTTTTATTCTTTTGAGTTTTATTATTCTTTTGAGTTTTATGTGTTTTCTCCAATATATTTTTTCCAACTCTTAAAAGATGTTCGATTTATAACTTGAACTCAGTATAAGTTTTTAAAAAAAATTTTTTTTGTATGTTTTGTGACAGATTCTGCCTACGTTGGCCAGGTTGGACTCAAACTCAAATCTCAAAGTGCTAGGATTGTAGGCATGTACCACTGCACCTGGCTTAAAATTGACATTTTAGTGAAAATTAAACACATTTATTTTTAAACATAAAGTAGGCATATCTACTGAAATAAAAAAATTAGGTTGTCCTGAAATACTAAAGAAAAGTTTAGAACTAGGCATATAACTTAGTGTGAGAGAACTGGCATAGCATGCATAAGCCTTGAGTTCAAGATTCAGTTTTCACCACTACAAAAAAAAGAAAAGTTTAATGTTGCAGTTTGATACATCTCACTCTGAGTTTACATCAGCTGTATTTGTTGAACATATCTCTTCAATTTTAAGAAAAAATTTACAAGAACATAAATGCTACCAAAATAACATACATGCCTAGTCTCATATTTGAGGTTTTTCTCTCATCTTCAAATAGTCATGGTACATGTTTGTTTCAGGAGTACTTTTTTACTTTAATCTTACAAAGAATGATGACATATGCCTGTAGTCCCAGCACTCAAGAGGCTGAGGCAGGAAGATAGCCATAAGTTCAAGGGCAGCCTGGGCTACATAATGAGTTCAAGGCCAGCCTGAAAAAACAAAATTTGACAAAGAAAAGAAACTGCTAGGCATTGTGGCATACTCCTATAATCTCAGCGCTCTAGTAGGCTGACTGTGAAAGACTGTAGGTTCAAGCCCATCCTGGGCAACTCAGCAAGAAATTATCTCAAAATAAAAATATGTTCTGGGGACATAATTCAATGTGTAGAACCTGGGTTCTATCCCTGCTGCCACCAAAAGAAAGAAAGCATGTGTATTACTACCTTTGCAACTAAACCAGGACAAATATAACTCAGTTTAGAAAATATTTTCTTTATTGTGCCATATAAACATGGTAGTGCTTACTGACTCTTAGATCCTAATCAGTTCCTGAAGGAAAAATGATAGTAGACAATGTCTTTACTTGATCTCTTTTTTCATCCACATCCAGGTCAACCGAAACTTAAGATAAACACCATCATCTAATTTCTTTGAGCTTATAGAGAATATTCGACCTTGGGAAAACCTGAATTGCATTCTAAGAGAAATGAAAACTTTTCTCAATCCATCTGGTGAAAGTTAGGCTAAAACCATTTATTTCAGCATATTTCAGACTTTATTGTTGCTTAATAGAAAAGAATTTCACAGCTTGGGTTTTTTCTATTTGTGAACAGTTTCTCTCTGATCTTTATCCTGTTGTAACAAGAGAGAGTATAAGTGTGTCCCCTGAGTGTTTTTAAGGAGGTTAAGGTTTCTCAATTGAAATGAATTAATACTTCTCTTTGGAGTTTTCCACACTAGAGAAAGTGTGCAGATTCAGCTTTTTGAGTGATCAAAGTGCCATTACACCAAGTCAAATAAAGCTTAGCACATTACAGTTAAGATATGAGGGATCTTTACATTACCTTGGTCAGGGATATAGCTCAGTAAGGCCCTCAGTTCAGTCCCCACTTCCACAAAATATAACAAGCTAGGGATTGGGGCTCAGTAATGGAGTTTTGGCATGTTATGTGCAAGGTCCTGAGTGTAGTGTCCAGTCCACAAAAATATTAATAACAGATTTTTATCATTAGGAAGATCCAATACTCTTGCCATTTACAACCAAATGGCTATTTAGTATGAATAGACAGTTACTTAGTGCCTCTTCTCACTTGCTTCCTCCAATAAATTATTTAATAATTCTTGATGGAATGCAAGCTTTTCAGAATTTCTTATTCTGGAGTCACTCCTCCGAATACCATGGGAGCCTTTGGGGAGAGGATGCCAGAAACCTGCTAAAAGTACATAAAGATTTTTGTGTTCATCTCTGTGTATGTGTACTTGAGGAGTAACTCCATAACTTTCATCAGATGCTTTGAGGCCTGGTACTTAGCATAATCCTAAGTAGAGATTTGGCCAAAACTGCAAATCCACATACACTTCACTCACTTTTAATTTATTATGACTATTTAGTTAGTTTTCTTATATACTTAAGTTTTTTAGAAATGGGGTCTTGTTACACAGTCAACATTGGCCTTGAATTTATGATCTTCCTGCCTCAGTTTACCTATTTTCATTCTATAATCACTGTCACATTTATGGATATAAAATTCTTAACCATGAGAAACTTCAGCATGTACACATACTTTAAACCAAAAATATAGTTCTGATAATTTGGGAAATCGCATTACAGATTTTAACTCCTTATAGTTGTATAGTTTAGTTTAGTTTAGTTTAGTTTAGTTTTAATTTAGTTTATATTAGCATGGTTTTATAGTACTTAGCAAATTATGTTTAAGGTAGTTTAAAATAGGATAAATGTTTCAACATTTGTGCTGAATTAATGTGAATTTGGCAGGAAATATTGTGATAATTTAACATGATCCCTATTTTCAGTCAGGATTTAAAACAAAATATTTAATTCCTAAGTGGAAACTTAAAGTATTTGTTTTAAAACTAACATTTTTAAACCGTTCAACTAAAATTATTAAAGGTGAGATAGAAATATTTTCTTAAATTCTTCATGTATGTAGTAAGGTTATACTGAAAAAATCATTGTGAATTTTGATTCTAGATTTAAAGTTTTTATACAGGTAAAATAAAATGCTTTGTTTCATTCATGAGTCTTAAAATTTAGTAAATTGCTTAGTGATGCTTAGTAAATAATGATGGAAAGGTATATTGTTTTTTAAATTTTTAGAAAACCTGTGTGTCTTCAGACTAGGGTATGAGTAGTTTTGTTTTTCTAATATATTTTTTCTCTAATATTGTCTCTGTAGGATAACTTCAAACTAATGTGTACCAATGCCATGATTTACAACAAACCAGAGACCATTTATTATAAAGCTGCGAAGAAGCTTTTGCACTCAGGAATGAAAATTCTTAGCCAGGTAAAGGGAAATCTTTGTCATAAATAACAATTATAAACTCTGTATCTGTGTTTATTAGTCTTAGTGAAATAGATTCAGTAGTGTTGGTTTCATTTTACTGGCAGATCATGTTAAGATCAGAGCAAATTGAATTAAAACTCAAAAAAAATAAGGCACTGGAATTCTCATTTGGATTGGATAGTGATACAAATATTAATCACTTAATTATTTCTCTAGAGGCTCATTTCCAGAATCAGATTAGATGAAGTATGAGACTTTTTAGGAAGAAAGCTCTCATATTTCCTTCTGTAACGATGAGTATGTTTGATTCAGTAGTATGCTTTTTGTTGAAGCACAGATCTCCCTTTTAATAGTAAGAAACAAAATATACAAATGAGCCAGACATGATAGTGCCTGCTTGTAATCCAGCACCTGGGACGCTGAGGCAGGAGAATTACTGTGAGTTTGAGGCCAGCCTATACTACATAGCAAAACCTGTCTCAAAACAAAAACATTAACAACAACAACAACAACAAATGAGAAATCATTTGAAACTGTCTCAAAACCACGTTTCCACTAGAGCAAACTTTTCCTTGAAGGCTAAGAATTAGTAGATAGAAAGGCATTTTAGGTAGGAAAAAAGTATGCAGACGTACTGCCATATTGTCGTCAAACAGGATGAGAGAGCTTAGACATAAAATACCTTAGATAGTGCCAAAAGGTTGGGTTATCTAGCAGTAGCTGATAAAATAGCCCATGAAGGGTAAGCCAAAGCAATACACATCTAGTTTCAAGAAAGGAGAATTCAAAAGCTAAGTTGTGTGTTTAAGGTTCTGCTCACAGCTCTGAATAGTAAATCTGTTACTTAGAGACTACTTTCAGAAATTGAGGATGACCCTGGCACCATATATCATGACAGGCAGGCAGAAGTCTGAGTGGTATCCTGTCTTCTAATTTGTGGACCTTGGACAAGATAGTAACCACCCTGGGCCCAGGTTTTCTCCCCATAGTGAAGATTTCATCTTTATTCTCCAAGTTGATTTTCATAATGAATGTTTTGATTTCAGGTAAGAACTAAAATCAAGAGGAAACTGTGAAAAAAATTTTTATAATTTAAAAAAAGAGGAAACTGAAGCCCCAGACAGAGGGAATTTGTAAGGAAGTGAGTGGGTTTAAGCCAGGTAGGAGAAAAGAATCAGAATTAAGAGCTTGAGCTCAGATTCAGACGAATTAAAGGATAATAAAAGTGAATTTTACGTAATTGCATATGGTTTTCTAATTTTTTATGGTGATCATCTGTACTATAGGTCTACATTTAAAGAAAAACCTTTTTGTGCAAATGTCTGAGTGTGTGCGTACTTGTCTCTGAAAGGTTCTTGGATCCACTTTACTTAGGGAATGGAAAACATTTGATGATTATTCTTTTTTTTTTTGTCTTTTTTCTTTTTATCAGTACCGGGGATCGAACTCACAACTGCCTGCTTACAAGGCAGGCGCTTATGCCGCTGAGCTAAACCTCCAGCCCCGATGATTATTCTTGCACTCGTAATATTTAGACATCAGTTCCCACCCTTTCCTGAAGATTTGGGAAGCTAATGTAAGATTGTTATCCATCTCTGGCAAATTTTCACGAGAAAGGAAATGCTCAGAATCTAGAGCCAACCTGTATTCCAAATTTAAAAACCTGGAAATGCCTGTTGTATAATTGAAGTAAATATGCACTCAGCAAATGTATCTTTATTCATTCTAAAATATGTACATTGAATTTTTAGGAAAAAGTTAATTATTGTGATCAATTCTGATCTACCATTATTTCTCTTTAAAAATACTGCAGGGCCAGGGGTTTAGCTCAGCAGCACAAGTGCCTGCCTTGCAAGCGTGAGGTCATGAGTTCAATCCCTGGTACCATAAAGAAAGAAAGAGAGAGAGAGAGAGAGAGAGAGAGAGAGAGCAGTTGATCCCGTATCTCTTTCCTATTACTAGGGTTGGGATGCACAGAAAGAAAATAGCATCTTCACTCTTCCTTTTTTCTCTCCTCCTTTTCCTGGTCCCTCTTCTCATTATCTTTCTTTTGCTCAGAACTCTTCCTCTTGAGAGCCCTACCCATCCTATCCTGTGTTACAGCTTCCTATGAACATTCTCTCCACTCAGGGTGGAGGATCCTTACAACTGTGATTTTAAAATGTTTAAACTCAGACATTTGAGTAGCTTGCTAATAACTATGCTCCCAAGAGAACCTAGAGTATCCTTCCAAAGATCTTTTTAGAGAGAACTTTTGCATTGCTCATTGAAAACATCGTAGTCATTCATCGCATTTTTACACACCAATAATGAGTATTGGTGTAAGTGTTATTTTTATGAAGAATGAGCAGATGAAGAAAACTCATTTGCTTTCCTAAATAAATACTACTGCTGCATTAAAGTACAAACAGTACTATTTGTGGCATAGTAACTTTAGAATCAGACTAATCAACCAAGGTTCAAGTCTTAGCCCTGTGATTTAGAAGCTGTGTGACCTGACACCATGCAACCTTTCTCAGCCTTTTTCGTGTAAAAATGAAAATAACAATATCACTTAGCTCGTAGAGTTGCGTCTGACACAGGGGAAGCATTTTATAAAAGCTAGCTATATTAATGGCAGGTAATCCACATTTCTAGTCCTTTAATATTGTAAGACTGGGGAAAATAAATAGCATGCTGACTTGGAGACTTTTTTTTATTTTGAAGAGAATAAAATCAAATGAAACAAAGCAGGATAGAGTCAATCAAAACAAAAGGATGAGCATGGTACATGACTTACAAACAAAATACAAGGAGATCAACAGTGGCTACTGTAATGCCTCTTGTTATCATCAAAAGAATTGCCCATATCATCAGGCATAATAAAATCAAGCAAAATCAAACAAAACAGTACAGAACAAAACCAATAAAAACAAAATAATGCAAACATAGGACTTCAAAAAAAGATAATAGTAAAACCACAATAAGTATCATAATGCATCCTACTGTCTTCAAAATAGTTCCCTATACATGAGACATGATACTATCAAACATAACAGAATAAAATCAGTCAAAACAAAACAATGAAAGCAATACAGGACTTCAGATCAAGCTGACAGGAAGTCAAAAATGGTTACCATAATATATTTTATTATCTTTGAAATAGCTGTCCATGCCATCAAATATAATAAAATTAGACAAACTGAAACAGAATAAAACCACACTAAACAGAACAATGAAAACAATACGAGTTTCAGATCACAATAATAGATTAACGATGGCCACTGCCTTCTCTTTTTAAACAGTTCCTCTCCCTTCACTTTCACAGGGTGTATCGTGCATTTTGGATCCTACTAACTCCTTTAGTGTTTATATTAGGGAGGCAACTGCACTATTCACCCCTGTGACTCTGAACCTTTTTACCAGTGAGCATGATGTCAAGTTAATATCCATTTACCAGCCTCAAGGTTACCTTTCTTTGTAGCTGAGTAGTTTTCCATTGTATAAAAGTTTCATGTCTTTCTAATCAATCTGCAGCTGATGTGCAAGCTATCCCCATTTTTTTTCTGGTTCCCTGTCAAATAGAGGATGTCTCACCTTTACTTTCAGTCTGTAAGCTCCCTTTTGGGTTAAATGTGTTTCTTGTATAAAGCATATTGATGGACCCTGTCTCCTGATCCCGCTGCCTATGTTTCTCTTTATTGGTGAATTGAGGCCATCTGTATTAGTGATTATGGCCAACATTCGCTGCCTCATCTCTGCCATGCTATTTTCCTGCCAGTGGTTGCCTCCTTTTCCCCTTCGTTCCATTATCTGCCCCACTCAAGTGAGCCCTCTCTGCCTCTGTTACTGAAACCATGGTCTTTTTTCTCTCTCTCTAGAATAGGAGACATTCTAGAGATAAGAAATGGCCCAACCTGAGGGACAAGAGGCCTGGTTTCAGTCTTTGCTTCTCTGACCTTGGTTAGTCAGTAGGCATTTCTGGGCTACATTGTTCTTGTTTGACCTCTTGTCCTTTCTAGTTTCTGTCATTCTGCAAATGTCTTCTCAGCCATTGCAGTGCAAACCTAAGGAGGCTGCACTTCATGATGTCATTCAGTAACAGATCTCTAAGTTAAAAGGCAGAGGTAGTCTGTAGGAACAAATTTGCCACTTTAAAATTTACCCAAAAACCTTAACCCTAAACCACAATGAACATTTTACAGTGCATGTTTTGCAAAACAGAAACAAGATGTCTTTGCTTGGTAAGAACATTGTGCACTCTGAGAACTAGCGACCACTCTCCTCAAGGCATGCCATTTTCACACAGAAAGTACCAGAGTCATCAGTGACCACCATAGGATGAGAGCCAAGGTTTCTGTTAACTTTCTGATAGTACAACAAAGCTATAAAGCTTTCTCTTACACTGGAAATTAAATGGTCTGAATCAGAGGAATAAGACTTTATTGATCTTGTTCCTAAATATTAGACTCTTACTGTCTAATATTTTTTCCCTGCTTAATGACAATGTAAGTTCAGAATTATGGAGGAAGATGAATACTTTAAAAGTTAATGACAACCATACAATAAGGATATTTTAAAATATTTACAGGAAAGAATTCAAAGCCTAAAGCAGAGCATAGAGTTCATGGCCGACTTACAGAAAACACGAAAACAGAAAGACAGAGCAGACACCTCCCAGAGCGGAGAGGACAGCAGCTGCTGGCCCCAGGAGCGAGACGACTCTGGAGACGCTGAAGCACAAGCTTTCAAAAGTCCCAACAAGGACAATAAAAAGTAAGGAATTTTGGAATATTAAACTATCTTTTCTATTTAATAAAAGTGGGCAGAAACCACTGGTTGAAAGAATGACCAGGAGAAGTCAAAATCCCTTTTGATGCTCTCCGACTCCTTTTCCAGAGCACTGCTATATATGGAATTGTCAGAACAGTTGAGAAAACAATTCCAAATGTATGTTCTTAGTAAAGTTGTTTAAAGTTGAATTCTCACTAAAGACTGATAGGGAGTTTATTTAAATGAAACTATTTGTTTAAGAAAAAAATGTGTATTCGTTGTCTCATTCCACAAAGAAAAAAATTTGACATAAGCACACTGAAAGTTCCTGCTTAAATAGCTGGGAAGTCACTGAACTGTGTGTGTGTTTCCCCTACACGTCATCTGGTACACAGAGGTGAGAGCCACTGGTCCTCCTGGCATTGACAAGCTGCCCTGCACCTCACTGTTAACCTTGGGGTTTATAGAGCTGTGTGTGTCCAATAGGTCACCTGATTCTTCCCAACCATAAAAAAGGATACTGTGGCCTGGGAAGGGAGGGTCAGAGTTAGAGTTCAGAGTTTCTGCTGTTATACATGCAAATGTCTGTTCTGTTTCTAAGGTTTACATATTTTAAATGTGTTTTAGATTTGAGTTTTTTACATTAAACTTAAAATGTATATTCCTCCTCCTTCAAAATAACATCTGAAGTAAAATTCTTTTTTGCGAAAGTACCCAGGAAAACATTTTAAACAAGTTAACCATAGACAAAAAAAAAAAAGAAGAAGAAGAAGAAGTAACTGCTACATTATATTTTCCTGTTTCTGCATCATTAGAACACTTACTACATTACTAGGAAACAAAGGTTACAGATGCCCCCGCTCATGATATTACCGTCTTTTCTATGCTCAATTAATGTGTATTTCAGGAAAGACAAAGATGTGCTTGAAGATAAATGGAGAAGCAGCAACTCAGAAAGGGAGCAGGAGCAGATTGAACGCGCTGTCCAGGAGTCAGGAGGAAAACTGACCCGTCGACCAGCCAACAGCCAGGTGAGTGACTTCCTTTCCCTTCTCCACTCCCTGCCCTCAGAGACTGTTAGCATTTACATTTTTCCTGTGCTTTCAGTCCACATTTGCCATAGAGCTTTTGTCACTAGAAAACTGAAGAAAAATTAATATATTTGTTTATGATCCCTCTTAATCCTCTATTACTAAGGGGTTCTATTTTTAGTGAAGATAATGTGTTCTAAAATTGGAAAATGAACCACATGCTTTATTTTAATCTTACAAGAAAACATTTATATTCTGGCCTTTTAAAATTATTCTTTTTTTTTTTTAACTCATGATTAGACAGCTCCATGAAAAAATACGGAATGCTTCATGAATTTGTGTGTCATCCTTGCGCAGGGGCCATGCTAATCTTCTTTGTATCGTTCCAGTTTTAGTATATGCGTTGCCAAAGCAAGCACCATTACTGTTTTTTTAAGCTAAGCTAATTTGTATATGACTTTAGGGAACCTACTCCCTTCTTTTTTTGGTCACAGTGTCTTTCTGATAGAATTGAGTGACCTGAAGAACTTATATACCACTTAAAGTTCTAAGATTTCCTTACAGTCTGTTTTTTATTTTGTTTTTTTTTCCTTACTCTCCACTTTTCTGGCACTTCTATACACAGATGACAGCTATGAAAGGCAGTGTTCAAGGACAACAATAAGCCTAGAATCAGCCAGGTTGATGAAAGTTTTCTGGTGCTACATTTACATGTAGAATGTATAAAACCTTTTTTTTTTTTTTCCATTCTACTTTGGTTCCTTGCAGTGTGAATTTGAAAGAAGAAAACCAGATGGAACAACAACGCTTGGACTTCTACATCCTGTGGATCCCATCATAGGAGGTAGAATCATAGAGCAAGGCTGGGCATGAACTTGATGGCATTTCACAGGGAACATGGTTAACATTTTAAAGCAACAAGCCAGTTGTGTTATTATCCACAAAGAACTTGGCTGGGCATCATGTATTTCATGGTAATACTATAAAAATAATTTTTTTTTTTTTGGACCAGGGATCAAACTCATGACCTGGAGCTTGCCAAGCAGGCACACCACTGAGCTAAATCCTCAGCCCAATACTAAAAATTTTTAACAAAACTCTATTTTCATACTACATGAGAGAGAAAATTGGAGATACAGGAATGAATGGTGACAAAATTCCTACACTTTAAGAACTAGCCTCCAGTATTTATTTATTGTGTGCCATGGGCAAGACACCATTATAGGAGCCGTAGGTAGAGTAAGGTATATTGTAGGGAGCAAAATAAAAAGATGAATCCTTTCTTCTTATATTTTTCTGGGTGAGAGAGGGACAGAACATACAAAGATGTCTGTTATGAACAAATACTTGCTTATCATGAGTACTACAGAGGAATAGATCATCTATGATTGTATATAAGAAAAAATTTTACTACCTAGTATTTGGGGGCCAAGGAGGGCTTCCTTAATGAAGCAGTGTTTAGGTTGATCTCACCAGTAAGTAAGGGACAAGGGAATAGCAGAGGAATAGGCAGGTGAAAATAATTTGGAAGCAGGAAAGAACTGGATGCATTTGAAGACTAAAAAGGCTAACTTTCTAATGTTCTCTGAACATAATAGAGGAGGAATGAGTGCTGTGCTTTGAAAACAAAATTATTCCTAAAGTATTAGGGGTTAAACCCAGAGCTTTCACACTGAGCTATCTGCCCTACACTTTACTCCGTTTATCCTTTTGAGACAGGGTCTTGCAAGTTCCCCTGGCTGGGCTTGGACTTTCTATCCTGTCTTAATCTCCCAGAGTATTGGGATTATAGGCATCACTGCCACACCCAACCACTTTTATTTTCATGTGACCTTTTCATAGGAGAAACAACAGCATTAAGAACATTGCTCTTCACAGTGTAACTGGTGAAAATGTGATGAGAGAAATGACTAAGTTGATTTCAGTAATCCCAAGATGCACCCATTTCTTTGAAGCCAGTGTCTAGTCTCTGCCCTCAGTCTGGTTTCCACCTCCTCGTGGGCATAGCCATATGTGGCCAAGCTGATTTGACTCTTCACTAATAGAGTATATCCCTCAGCAGGCCACTGTGCTAGTGGAAGGTGAAAGATGACCCTGTTCACCATCTGTTTCGTCTTCCTAGTGGAGGTACTGGTATGTAAGGAAATCAGACTACAGCCTAACTCAGAAGGAGAGTTATGATTTGGACATTTTAAAGTTTTTTCCTGGTGCTTTCATCATACACATCACCTGTAGTAGTATCCTCTGTGGCAGGAGACGTTACAAAGACCAAAACTTTGGAGAAAAAAGATACCCTTTGTCTTGGATACTCTTGGAGACCACATTTCTCTTGATAACATACTTTGCTATTCTTTTAAGTATGCCTACTTCATTATTCCTATTTACATCATATATATCCAGCTTCAGTTCAGTTGAGTTCCTGTTTACCAAGATCACATTTCTAACGGCTATTCTTCACTGCAGTAAAAGTATACCTGCCATAGAATATTTTTCCTTTACTTGTTTTATCCCCCTCAGTAAGTTGCCCAGTCTAGGCTAGGATGTGTGATCCTCCTACCTCCTTATAGACATGCATCACCATATCTGGCTTAAAAATCTATAAGTGAGTGCTAATACAAACACAAAAAATTCTAGGAGGTAGTAGTGTAATGAAAAGATCTAGTTTTTGGTCCTGGGTACATTCCTGCCTTTCTAAACTCAGATTTTTCTTATTTTAAAAATGGATAGATGAAGGGATACCCAACCTCCTTTGGGGGTATGTAGATAACATGAAGTGATACACATGAAAGCACTCAGCAGAGTACCCTATGGATCATTTCCACACGTGCGTCTTACTGTGCTCAGTTTTGTGTCTTAGAACCAGGCTACTGTCCTGTGAGACTAGGGATGACAACTGGAAGACTTCAGTCTGGAGTGAATACCTTGCAGGGGTTTAAAGAAGATAAAAGGAACAAAGTAACCCCAGGTGAGGCTCCTACATAGTTACAATATTTTTTTCTCTTTCTATTTCAGGTAGTTAAGGAGAAGAATCATAATTACCATTCATTAGTTTATGCACTAGCTCCCTTAGTGATATGTTTGTAATATCAGCTACTTTACTAAATCAGATATTAGTATTCAAAATGAATTTTTTGTTCTTTTCCTCTTCCCTTTTGTGGGAATAATTCACTTAAGTTTTGACTTCACAAGTACAGTAGGCCATCTGTATCTGTGGATCCTATATCATACATTTAACCAACACAGATGGAAAATATTTTTAAAAATTATTTCATCTATATTGAACACATACAGATTTTTTTTCCTTCTCATTACTCCTAAACAATACAGTTAGGTATTATAAGTAATCTAGAGATAATTACTCTATAGAGTAATCTAGAGATAGAGTATGGAGGTTATGTGTAGATTCAGTGCAAATACTATGCCATTTATATGACTTGAGCATCCTTGGATTTTTGTGTCTTTGAGTGAGTGGAGTTCTAGAACTAATTCCTTAAGGAGGCTAAGGGATGAGTGTATCTGTTGGGAGAAAATAATCCATCTTAGATTTGCCTGTCAGTTTATGAAGCAGCAAAATTAGAAAGTAATCTTTAATAAAGCGAGAAAATAGATTTACGTAAAAACTAAGAATATTACAGTATTTAATTTTTTCAACAGTGTTATACTTGAATTATGGGCCTTACAGTTCTTATGCCCCACATTATGATTCCACTTTTGCAAATATCAGCAAAGATGATTCTGATTTAATCTATTCAACCTATGGAGAAGACTCTGACCTTCCAAGTGACTTTAGGTGAGTTACTAGTTATTATTCTAAGCATAATAATTTCTAAGAGACTAGTGCACAATAGTGATTTGTGGGTAGACTTCTAAAGTTACCCAAATGGTAGGAAATGTATTCAGTCATTTTCTTAATTGACAGTAGTAGACCCATAGTTATCCTGTAATGGTATACTAAAGAGAATATATCTCCGTTGTACTAACATCTGCAATATTGTCTTACAGAAATATGCTTTTAAATGTGCAGTGTGCCTCAAGTAATACTAAAATTCAGGAACTTGTTTCCTCCAAGAGTTATATGCCATCTGCTCTACTATACTAACACACACAGACACACACACACACACACACACATACCCCAGGATCAAACCCTAGGCAGACTCTTAACACTGAGCAGCACCTCTGGCCATCTCCGTTGTATTAACATCTGCAATATTGTCTTAGAGAAATATGCTTTTAAATGTGCAGTGTGCCTCAAGTAATACTAAAATTCAGGAACTTGTTTCCTCCAAGAGTTATATGCCATCTGCTCTACTATACTATCACACACACACACACACACACACACACATACCCCAGGATCAAACCTTAGGCAGACTCTTAACACTGAGCAGCACCTCTGGCCCTCTGCTGTAACATTTTTGTGTATCAGTTATGTTCCAAGCTTGATCAGCTTGGGAACCCACAGCACATTTTCCCCAAGTTGTAAGGTGTAGACATGATAATTTGAGTCCTAAAATAACTCCCACATAATCCATCCTGTGTGGCAGATTATGAGGCAGACAGGCTGTTGCAGTTATACTCATTCCTTACAGTATGGTTCTGTGGGTCAGTAACTTCTCTGTTCTGATGTAGGATAATGAGGTACCATTGTAACTTAATGGGGCCGTGGCTCAGGGTGAGCTTGAATGTTCCCTCCTTAACTTTCATTATGTATGTTAAAATTTTAACTGTATATGTTGAACTTGTATCTCTGTAGTTTAGCCAGTCCCCTGGTTTTCTGACAAAAAGTTATTCTCTTTTCTTGTAAGTATGTGTGGTTTTATTGTTATTATGGTCAAGAGTCCCTGACTTAGAGATAGGCCATGGTTTCAGATCAAGCTGTTTATATATTTATTCAGACTTCACCAGCATGAACAGATTCTTTCTGGAATATCCTATGCATTCCACAAATAGCCATTACTGTGGGCCAGATATTCTTCTAGCTGATGGAGGTTCCACAGGGAACAAGTAAGGACAGAGACCTGATTCCTCCCGTTAGATACTGACAGTGCTTTAGAGGAAGGTAAAGCAACAAAGGAAGATGGAGTGCTGCGGTCAGAGAATTCTTTGCTAAAAAAAAGAAAGTCAAGAAAAAACTAAGATAAGGAAACAGCAGCACTACACAAAGAAAGAGGAGCCCACCAGCCCCTGAAATAGGCTGTACTGAGGCCTGAAGAGAGACTTGCCTGACCTGTTCGTGGAACAATGAGCAAAGGGAGTGAAGGGGAAAGTGATTGGCGAGGTAGTAAGTGGGAGTGGAGCTTCGCAAGGATCTGGAGTTTTATTCTGAGTGAGACTACTGGTGTGACCAGAACAGTGACCCAGCCTGGCTTAACATTCTAAAAGGGAACTCTCCTTGTTGTGTAGAGAAAATAGCTTGATCAAGGGCAGAAGCTGCGAGTGTGGTGTCATCATCCAGATAAGAAATGGACCAGGGGCATAGCCATTGAGGTACTGAGAGAAAGGATCATTAATTAGTAGGACGTGTTTTACTGATGAAAGGGGGAGGGAAAATGAGAGAATCCAGGATTTTCAGACAGTATTAAAGGACATAGTTGCCATTTATGGAAAAGGGGACGGTTTTAAAATCTGCCTCTTGGGGAGACAGTCCAACATTTCAGTTTTGAGTGTTTGAGGCCTGAGGAGCTTATCAGACATCCAAGTGAAGTTGTGGCTTTGAGGTTTAGTATGTTCATGGAATCCATAAGGGGAACAGGATCACAGAGGGGAGCAAGCCTGAGGGCCAAGGTCTGGGCCCTCATCATTGAGGTCTTATTTTTCTTTGGAGTTCCTTCAAGAACATTTCATTTTTACTGTGTTCTTGGTGTTCATTCTCTGATGACAATAAATTTATCACTAGTAAATATGTAAATAGTTTTACTTCTTGACAGAGTTTTACATCATGGTGTATAAATCAGAAGCATCTAATGGAAACGGTTGGCTGTGATTAGAAGAACTAAGCCAATGGGAATGATTTATATGAAAGTAACTTTCCCAATTCTCTTTCAGTGTCCATGAGTTTTTGGCAACATGCCAAGATTACCCATATGTTATGGCAGATAGTTTACTGGATGTTTTGACAAAAGGAGGGCATTCCAGGACCCTACAGGAGTTGGAGGCGGTAAGAATGCTGCTGAAGAAATAGTTTATTACTGGCTGTGAATCATGAGTCATTCCAAGTTATGAAACCAGGGATTAACCAGTAGGACAGCTGAACTCCATTCCCTTGAAAAGACAGTGCAGCCCAGCCCGGGTGGAGGCCATGGGTGGAGAACAATGAACGGAAAGGAGTAACTCAACTACTGGGATCTTTTGGAGCCAGAATATTGCCATCATCTCTAATTTTGGGAGGAATGCACAATTCAGAAATGGAATTTGTCCTCTGAAGTCAGTGTGAGCTATATTCTCTAAGAAAAAAGTCTTGCTCACTGGCTTAAAAGTTAGTTGACTAAAAAGATAGGGATACCCTTTTCCTATTGTGTACTAATTAAGAATTAATTAAGTGGTAAGAATTAGAAAGTAAAAAGCTTCCTCATTGTAGTCTGCTATCAACATTTGTAAGCTCTCAACAGTTCACAATCTGAAGTAATTCAGAGTCATGGCTCAAAGATGAGAGCCAGAAAATTTTCCCACTGATAGAGGTATGTCCCAAGTATTCTTGTTACCATAATTGGGAACCTCATAAGTATCTCATGGAAGTTTTTTGTTGGGCAGGGTGAGGGGGTATGTTTTGTGGTGTTGGAAATCAAACCAGGCCCCTCACAGAGTAAGCTAGTGCTATACCACTAAGTTACATACCCAGCCCCAAAATCATAAATCACAATACATACTTTATAGTGATCTCTGCTGAGAATATTGTTTGGTTAATACACAGTAGTCCTTAGGACTTCTTCCTGTCTTGTCAGAAACATAAGCTATTATTGAAGACAGCCTCTACTTATTTAGGTATTCATATACTGTTTATCAAATATCTTCTTTAACATGAATAGCTTTTGATTGGATACAGAGCTCAGCACTACTACTAAGTACCCCAACTCTCAAAATATTGTCAAAGCACTAATATTTTTCATTAATAAGTTACACTCTGCACAGTGCCTACCTGGTAAATGCAAGGTCCTTAGTGTGATTCTCAATACCGCCCCCCCAAAAAAAGTTATATTCTAGCCAGGTACGGTGGCACATACCCGTAATCCACTTCAGAGGCTAAAGCAGGAGGACTGCTTTGCATTCAGCACCAGCCTGAGTTGCATACTTTTGATACCCTGTCTCAAAAACCAATTGCTAGCTGGGTGGATACATGGATAGATATATTCCATTAGTATGAATTGTTACTATTACAAAATTTCTGACAGTTTTCTGTTTTCCTTAGTATTTACCTTTTCATAAATGTTTTTATAAATTATTTTCCTTTAACAGTTATCACCCGAAGATGAAGGCCAGACCAGGACACTTGATACAGCAAAAGAAGTAGAGGTGATTATATTTTATTCTTTACAAAAATTAAGTGAAAATTAAGCTAAAAGAGCTAAACATTATAACTTTACTTTAAAAAAAAACTCATTCAGTGTCATGAATCATAAAGGTTACTTTTGTCTGTGAGGAGCTTAGTACCTCACACACTAGCAAGCATGCTAAGGAGGGAGCCAGGCCCAATTACCTTGCACCGTCAGCCCAGGCCGTGGCACCCAGGATGGGTAGCTGTGTGGAAATGGTTGCAGGGTGAAGAGACAGCAGGCAGGGCCTCAAACCTGAGTGGGTAATGACAGAGCCATGTGAGAGCGGGGCACAGGGGAGGCCGTCTTACAAAGCAGTGCCCAACCAGGCATGGTACTGTACATGTACTCCCAGTTACATGGATAGCTGAGGCAAGAGGATCACAAGTTCAAGTCCAGCCTATACAACTTTTTGAGAGCTTATCTCACAATGAAAAGTGGAGGGAGTGTAGCTCAGTAGTGGAGCATTTGCTTAGCACTTGTGAGGCCCTGGGTTCAGTCTTCAGTAAGTCTCCAGCTAATGAGTTCTGTTCCAGGAGAATTGTTCATAAGTTGGATTTGTTCTTAAGCCAACAAAGTCAGTCTTACACAGTACAGGTTTACAACTTGATCTTGGGTTTTTTTGTTTTTGTTTTTTGAGGTTTTTGGTGGGTTGTTTTGGTTTTGGTTTTGGTTTTGGTTTTGGTTTTGGTTTTTTTTTTTTTTTTTTTTTTTTCTTTGTGCCATGGATCAAACTCATGACCTTGAGTTTGCCTAGCAGGCACTTACACTGCTGAGCTAGACCCCTGGCCTAAGGTTCACAACTTGAATGTTCCTGCACTAGGGACTTATAGTATAATGTACAAAGCTGGTGACCCAAGGGTTCCTGGGTAGAGTTCAGGCAGTAAGTGAGTATGGGTGAGGCCCAAATGGTAGAGAATCTTCTGTGCAGTGCTGGGACTTGAAAATTTACCTAGATGATGGGACTCTATGGTAATATGTGGAAGAAGAGGACCAATGAAAAGCTTGAGGGCTTGTCAAAGCAAAATCATCATCATCAAATCAATGACTAGTATACCAAGTCAAAAGAAAGATTTGGCAAAAAAACAGTAGACTGGGTCAGGGATTTATCTCAGTGGCATAAGTGCCTGCCTGGCAAGTGCAAAGTCATGATTTCAATCCCCAGTACCAAAAAAATGGGGCTGGGGATTTGACTCAGCAGTATAAACGCCTGTCTAGCAAGCGTGAGGTTGCAAGTTCGATCCCTGGTGCCAAAAAAAGAAAAAACAGTGGACCTGTTGATGAAGCCTGAGGCATAAAGTAGATAATAGTATTAGCTTTTATGGGAAATACAGGAAAAGGAGTACATTTTTGACAAGGAGAGAGATCACAAGCCACTTCAGATTAGTGTGACTTGGGACATTGCTGGAGGTGTGGAGCCAGAAACTATTGGTGTAAAAATAGGATTTTATTCCAGTCATTAGAGTGAGAAACCTTAGAGGAACCTTGGAGAAGATCAATAGTTGAGGTAGGAAACATGTGAAAGGATCCTGAGAGAGATAGTTCTATGTCAGATGCTGCAGAAGCCTAGTAAGAGGCGAGTGCAGATGTCACTGTTAACCTTGATCAGAGTGACCTCAGTAAAATGGTGGGGCACAAGGTAAACTTCAGCCAGTTAAGGGCCTGGAGGGAAACTAGACTAAAAGTTATACAAACAAGCCCTTCAACTGAGGGGAAGGAAGACTGGAGATGTGAGATCCAGTAAAGATGTAGATGGTGTTTATACAGCCATGTTTTCAGGAAAACGGGAGCCAAGCAAGGCCAAGTGCTTAATGAGCAGGCAGGAGTGCAAGAAGTCTTGAGAATAAAAAGGAAGTGGGGATCCAGCTGAAAAGGCAAACCATAAATATGTACTAGTGTCAAGTTACACTTTTCCTACATTGCACACTTTGAGCCCATACCTATGCAGGCAGAAGACTCAATTATCCAGGTTAATCTTGGACTGAAACATCAAATATAAATGGAGCCACTAACTTTTGATTATAATCTGAGTTGATACATTCCCCCACAAGCAGAATTGAGGCTATGGAGACTTTGAGTCCTAGAATTCCAAAAATAAAACTCTACCTTTCTTAAAATCTTATTTCTCCCATGCAGTACTGACAGCCTATCTTTAGGGCCTCAAGGAGACTCAGAAAGCATCCAAGCTGTATTAAAGATATGCTGTAAAAATCCAAAGGTACAGAAATCCAAATCCAAAGTGGGGCGGGGTAAAACATTTGCCTTGGAGTCGCGGAAATACAAGGCTTTGTCATACCATAGCACTTCAAAGTTGAGGCAGTGATGAGGCTGTTTATCTTTCGAGTTGTTGACATATGAAACAAGTAATGCAAATTTGTAAGACATCACAAAACAGTGAATTTATGACACTTATTTTGCCACAGTTTGGGGATAGCATGTTAAAAGGGTATTTTGGAAAGACATTTTTGGCACTCATTAAAATCATGCCTTTGAAGTAAATAGATGGAATGGCTTTGCCTCTCCACACAGGTCAACTTACTGATTTTTACTTAGCACTGTCATGGCTTAGCTGGCTCAGAGAGTTGCCTTTTTGTTTTGTTTTGTTTTTTGTTTTTTGTTTTTTCCTTCTGACTCAGATTACAGAAGTGGAGCCAGCAGGGCATTTGGACTCCAGCACTCAAGACAGGCTTACAGCACTGAGAGCAGTAACAAACTTTGGGGCTTCAGTTGAAGTTTTTGACTCTGAAGGTATGTGGCTCACACACGTTGCTGGAAACATTACACAACACAGGTAATCAAGATAATACCAGAGATTATGCTAGCCATGCACCACAGAAACATGGCCAACCAAGTTAAATAAATGATAGAAAGCCAGTGTGGTGACATATGCCTGTAATCCCAGCACCTTGGAGACTGAGGCGGGAAGATTTCTGTAAGTTCAAGGCCAGCCTGCACTACATAGCAAGACTCTTGTCTCAAATAAAAAAAGAATAATAAAGCAAGGATGTGGTATTGATTTTATTGGAGAGGCTTTACTCTTGAAGAATGAGGCTAACCAACAAATAGGCAAGCCTGAGAACATCGGATTCAGTTTACCACACAAGACCATATGAAAGTATGCTTGTGTTTTCATTAGTTGTTCTTACACACAGAGGCTGAAGTATTCCAGAGGAAACTTGATGAAACCACAAGATTGCTCAGAGAGCTCCAGGATGCACAGAACGAGCGGCTGAGCACCAGACCCCCTCCCAATATGATCTGTCTTTTGGGTCCATCATACAGAGAAATTCACCTTGGTATGTTATACCTCCAGTAGGAGAATTGGGAGATGCTTAAAGGAAAAACTTCAGAGTAGTGAAACCACCATAAAGTCATATTCAAATGAACACCATGGATAATGTGTCTTTTTGCATTCATACAGTTAGTATTTTAAATTTAAAAATTATCTAAAGGACCTATTTTTCAGTACCTGTAATTTTTTTCCCCCAGCTGAACAAGTGACCAATAATCTTAAAGAACTTGCACAGCAAGTCACTCCAGGTGATATCGTAAGCATGTATGGAATACGAAAAGCAATGGGGATTTCCATTCCTTCACCCACCATGGAAAACAACTTCGTAGATCTAACAGAAGGTACATCCCTATTTTCTTGGGAGAGCGAGTAGGGCAGGGGTGGGAGTGCCTGTTGGGAGTAAAAGGAGTGTTAGTCTTTTCCCTGCAGCTAACATTTGAGAAGTTTGGTTCCTGAGTTTTTAAGGTATAAAACTACTTTTCTGTCTTGTCTAAAGAATAAGAATTTCACACATTTGTGAAAAAAAGCTCCAATGATGACATAATAATACTGCTTCTCTTTAACCTTGAATGACACAGAAGTGCTATGTACAGCTAACTCTTCTGAATGCTAACTTCACCTTCACTTCCATTTCTGATTAAAATGGAAAAAAAAACGCTGATTGAAGTGTTCTCTCTTTAAGATCTGGAAGAACCTAAGAAAACAGACGTTGCTGAGTGTGGACCTGATGGGAGCTGAGGCCAACTGGTATTTGATTACATATTATGTACATATTTTTTTATTCTGAACTTGGAAATGCTTTTCAAAAGATATTAACTATTTGTAAATTGTGTTTTTAATTAAACTTTGGAACAATCAACTTTAATCTTCTAGAAATTGGACCTCTATTAGGTAATAAAGGTGAACCTGGGACTCTTGAAGAGTATGTGGTATCAAATAAGTTACCCTTTTAGCTTTCTATAGGCTGTGTGTGTGGACGATGTGACCAAGAGACAACCTCAGCACATAAAATGGCCTTCTTCAGTATCATCCCCTAAAAGAAGAAAATCCTCAGTCATTTTTTACACTCTCCACTAATTTAAAGAAATTATAACTAATTCATAACTAAGCAGATAATCATCTTGATAATTTATCCAAAAAGTGGTCTACATGAGGAAGAAATAGGCTGTGAGCTACTGCCAACCTGGGCAGCATTCTTCAAAATAGTGCTGATACTGGTTATGTTTCCTCAGCAGTTGCATAACAAAGAAGCTCTTTAAAAATAGCCCTGTTCAATGAGATTTTCTGACGTAGAGCATGGAAACAAATCTAAAATAATTTTAGGATTTAACGGTGTAGTCTACCTAATAGAAATGATGTCCTCATGATGTCCCTTACCACCACCACCACCCCAGTCACTAAGCTTAGATGAATGGTGATTTTTCTGAATCTGATTCCGGATATATTCTGTTTAAAATAAAAAGCAGTGTTGGACTGGGGACTTAGTTCAGTGGTAGAGTGCCTGCCTCATATGTGTGAGGCTCTAGATTCAATCCCTAGTACCCTAAGTAAATCAAAGGAAAAATCCAAGATGCATATAGACTAATGCTGTGAACAGATTAATGTCCTTATACAGTGCCCTTCTGTACAACACCCAGAGGGGAAGCCATTTTATGTTTTCTTGACTTGAAAATTAATATGGAACAATAGCAAATAAGAAAAGCAAGATTCTTTTAAACTTAAAACATGAACTAACCATTTTAAAAACTACTTAGAATATTATGCTAACAAAACCAGTTGAATACATTTTTATCAAGTCTTTAAAGTCTAATTTCTAAAATACTATTTAGGCAATACTGGCCTCAGGTAAGCTCCCAAAGATTAAGATAAATTTAAATTCAAGATACCTTAGGACATTCAGGTTTTCCACATTGCTAATTTAATGTGTCAAAAGCAGCCATCCACTGGTAGTTTATAAAAATGAAACAAAATATCCAAAACAATGTAACAGATTTATAAATAACCTTATACAGAACAAACTTTTATCACCTGCATACATGATCTCAAAGTGTATTTCCATACATTGATGTGCTACAGACAAAAGTATACAGTGGGTAAGGATCAGCTTTTCTGTTAGCAAATTTCCTTAATAAGTAAACCAGAAAGACTTCAGGTATTTTCCATAGTCAGTGAGGCTAACAGGTAAAAATTTTAAGCCAGTCTTTAACCCAATAGAAAAGGTCATTGTTGGAAAATATTTGTTCCTGCCAAAACAAAATGACACTTTCAAAGAAGTTGCTTGGTAAAAAGAAAAAATACAACTACAAGTGATTCATATGGTCAGTTATACTCTGATTTGAACTTGGAAACTAAAATTTTGTAAAATAGTCTTATCTGAGCACAGTGCTTTAATTGAAAATAAGATACATGAATGGTGACCAGTTATTTTTAAAACTCCTTGCTGGGATTTCTATTATTGAAGGAAGAAAATATCTTGAATGTTTCTAGAGTAGAAAAACCACAGAGCTCAAGGACACTCATGCCCTGATACATGTCTGCCTTATGTCAGCAACAGGACCCTCCTACCCCAGGAAAACCCAACTGGGCAGCCTTGGCCACTGTTAGATTTTGAGAGCACACATTTCAGTACAGTATTCCCCTGAAATCAGCCCTTTTTGTGAGAAAGCAGTGTATAAAAAAGGCAATTTTAGGCAAAACTTCTATCCCTTGCTGGCATTTTTGCCATAGAACTCCTTTACAGAGCAAGTTTTTGAATGCATGTTAATTCCAGTTACATATGACACATTAGAACCACCACTAGCCCACCCAGCACCTTTTTGCAAATTAGAATCAACCCCCCTTCCTCAGGCTGATAAAACACAACTCGAGCAGACAAGCCCATTTGCACCACCTCCACCCATGCCTGCGTACTATTGTGCTGCTCTGCAGCAAGTGTGGACTTCATCACAGCCCTGTATGATCAATCTCCTGAAGACTCCTGCAAGATTTTCTGTATAACTTTAGGGGGTTCACGGCTGGCTTCTAGCAATGAATCCCTGCGATATAGTGACATTCAGTGGTGTTAGAGATCCCAGAGATGCTCTGACAGCAGTGAAGTCAGTTCGGAAAAGGAACACGAAGCTTGGTTATTTCTCTCCATGAAAGTTACACTGACTTGAGCTCCCTGTGGAGCTGAAGCATGGTAAGACACCATCTCAAAACTGGCTTTTTACCTTGACTCATTCAGGTTCAGAGCAACAACATCTCAGCATCTGTCAGGAGCTGGCTTTCTGGGTAGGGGAACCTTGACACATCTCATGCTGAGTAGATCCTCCTAGTTTTGAAGCTCGCCAGAGTCAGCTATGTGAAGACTAAAGAAAAGGAAGGATGTAGTGCAGGTTGTCCAAGGTTTCTCCACATGGCCTCCCTTCCTTCCCACTGAAATAGCATAAGATAGTTAGATGGCAGGGGGAGGTCCAAAGTGCAGAAGTAGTCAGGGCAGAACTAAAAGGTGGTACCTTGCTCCTAAGCGTTTCATCTTTACTGAACATCATCCCAGGAAATTTCCCTCAGAGCTGCCCAACTCAGAGCCCAGGCTTCACTGCTCTTTGCCTTCTTGCTGTGAGTCCGTTCCTCAGAACTCAAGCCCCACAGCCAGCTAACCCCATCGACTGCCGCTGGACAGTAGCCCTATTTACACTACACTGGAGGTTTTTGTCCAGCATGTAAAGTTGTTAGTAAAGATAAAACCCCCATTGGGAATGTATCCATTTAAAACACATGTCAGAGGTAACAAGAAGTGTTTTGTTGTGTTTTGTTTTGTTTCCTCTACTGGGGGATTTGTAAAACACCCTTTCCAGCTCCACATCTGTGTGGGAGATAGCTTCACGTGGCTTGTCCTGCTAGAAAGAAGAGAGCCTCCAACCCATGGTAGAGAACTTGGCTTAGTCTTCTTTGTGCATGCTCACAGGCTGCCAAGGGCGATGTCTGTCTTGGTCATGCTCTAAGATCACCACCAGCGCAGTTGGTATCACATCCCAGGATCATCTTCCAGCTGACCTGGAAACCATGGCAGTGACAGCACAAAAGTTCTGGCTGCACTGTGCCCTATAGCAAGCAGTTGCTCCAAGCAGGACCTGGTGCCCATCTCTGAGAATCTTCTGGTGCAAATCCCTGGAAGCCATGCTCAGCCACCTGTTGTGGGGCAGTGCTGGCCAGAACCTTCCATCAACTTTGCAACTGGCTTGGGGCTGGCTTCCTGACCTGCTCCAGAGGAAACCAGCTTCCTACCGTGTTTTGACTCTTCCGGAAGCCTTCAGTTCAGCCCCAACCCCTGAAATTTCGCAGTGTCTGTGCACACAAAATAGGTCCGAAGCTCGCCTTTGCCTTTGACGTTAATCAGCCCCCGGCACTCGCAGGAGTAGCCCAGGCTCTGGAGGATGGTGCAAGTCTCTTCAGTAACCTGAGTAGGGGAGGAAACAGGAAGAAAACTGCTGTGCTAGGGACAGGTAGCAGGGGCCAGTAAGCAGTATACATGTCTGCTTCGACTCAGAACTGGTGGCCAGAGTGACACACCTGAGTGCTGGTGGAGCCAGCTCTTAGGCCCAGGACCCCTCACCTGGGGGAGGGTCTTTCCGCTCAGCCACATTCCACGATGAGTTTTTACCTGGATTTTCCCAAGTTCTCCTGTGCTCTCCATGCGGCTGGCAACATTGACTGTGTTCCCCCAGATGTCATACTGAGGCTTTCGTGCCCCAATCACTCCAGCAATCACAGGCCCATGGTTGATGCCTAAAAATCATGTTAACAGTTGGTACATCCCAGAGGAAAGCTGCAGGTCATAAGAGTCCGCCCCATAACCCCAGAAAGCAGCAAGAAAACACCACTTAAGACACAGGTTGGGTTGGGGCTGTGTCCGTCTCCTGCAGAGAGAGATGATCATCCAGGGGCCATGCCATCACACCATACCAGTTCCAGCACTCAGGACGTCTGGGCTTATTAGTCTCCCTTTCAACAAGTTAGTGGGCTAACTCTGACACACCAAACTAACAATAATTAGTTAGGTTTAATAATTCTGCTTTGCATCAGTGTATTTTAAGGTAATCTATTTATACCTATGACTTTGGTACTCATTTTGCTATAGTGATATATTCCTACTAAAATTTAGATAACTGTAAGAGCAATATGCAGAGGTCAGAATAATTTCCCAGCCTCTGCACTTACTAGTTTAGAGGGAATTCTGAAACCTGGTAGGGGACAACCCGGTACAGCGTGGCAAGGCACATGGGGAGAAGCTGCTAGGCTCCCGGTAGCTGGGCTCTCACCGACTCGCAGACGGAAAGAGTTGAAGGAATGCCTGTTGATGCCATCCAGCTTGCTCATGAGGGCGATGCTGAACTCCACCAGGACACCAATGTGGGCATGCTGGCGCTCCAGGTCCTATAGGACACAGGGCATGTGAGGCCCTACCACCAGAGACTCAGGCTGCTACAGTACCTGACTGGCAGGGACCCATGGGGCCAGGCTGTCAGTGGACAGTTACCCTTCTCCACTCCCCACCTCCAGAATTCTCCGGGCTGAACCACACAAGTGCCTGCCCTCCTTCACAGGATGGCAAGGGGGAGGCCCCATGAAGCAGGAAGTGACAGGTCCGAAGATTGCCTGCTGCGTTTCGGCCCCCCCCCCCCCGTGCTTCAGTACCTGGTTCTCATACCCCGAGGGAACACTGAGCCCTGCAGCTGCCATGTAGGTGCTCCCGATGGTCTTAATCTTCTCTACACCACTGAACTTGGGCTTCAGCAACAACTATAGGGCAAAAAAGATGACGCTGTGGCTAGAGGCACAGGGGTGCTCAGAAAGGGTGTAAGCCTCTGCACAGGCAGACTTGTCTCCTGTGGCCCCTTCTAGTCAGAGCGCACGTCCAAGTGCCCTTCGAAGGCATAAGTACCCAGCTCGATTCTAGGTTCACTGTCTGCAGTGAATCTGTAGAGTCCAGCCCAAACTCTGAGACGGCTGATAGCACCGGCTAAGCTGGAAACACTCTTTCTATAAGGACCTGAATCTAAACAAGCTGCCCTCCACGGAGAAGATAGCAAAGTATTTGCTGAGTAAATACAAATTTGTCCCTTTTGTTTTTTTTTTTTAAAAACCGGGGATCGAACTCACAACCGCACGCTTGCAAGGCAAGCGCTTATGCAGCTGAGCTAAATCCCCAGCCCTGTCCCGTTAGTTTTGTAGTGGGTGTTCCCTCAAAGGAGCTGCCTCATTTTGAGTCTGAATCCAGGGCCTTATGCATGCTAAGCACATGCTCGGGCTCCCACTGACATGCATCCCTAGCCCCTGACCTTTTTAATTGCAGTCAGGCCGCCCAGCCTCTGCCCTGCCCTGAGTCCTGCCCCTCAGTGGGCTGAGCCAAAGCTGTACCTCATCAAAGTCAGCAATGATCTCGTTCAGCAGGCGCAGGCACTCCAGCCCTTCTTTGTTGACATCGCACTCTGTGTAGAACACTTTGAAGTCCGGCACGGATGCGAACATGACACAGACACAGTCATAGGACTGATGGTACCAGTCCTGGAGCAGGATAAGGGTGAAACAGGACCTTATGGCCACTCTGCCTCTGGAGGGGTTGGGGACATGCATGGTAGTGACCTTCCCAGTGAGCTTTCAAGACTGAGCAGTGGGTCCCCTCCCAAGCTGAGGCTGGGAAGACACAAGTGGTAGCTCTGAATTAGATGGGGAGGAGGTGTGGCTGATGGCACTCTGGGTACATGCACTGCATAGAAGATGGGTCCTATACTGGGCAAGTGACTCAGTTTCCATGTCTGGAAACCCTGGCTATGAGATAGAGCCAGTTTTTACTATGCTGTCTACTGGTGCAGGGCGAGCAAGCCAGGCACAGCCTGTGCTGAGCAGCTTCGGCAGCTCTGTAGCTCTGCGGTGCACCTGGCATTTATCAGTCCCTTAGGCCCCCTGCCCCAGTGCTGGGCTGCACCTCGTTTAGCTTGTCACCGATGAAGTGAGCAGCCACATGGGCTGGCAGCACATTCTCCAGGAGGAGGCGGTTCACATTCTCCATGGTTTCAAACTCCTCATGTTCTTTCTTGAACTTCCTCTTCCACAAACAGTCCAAGCGGCAATAATAGTCAATCTGCAAACAGACCCATCAGCGCCTGTTCTGAGGGTGACACACCTAGCAAGGGACTGGAAGCCCCAGCTGCAATCCTGGGCACCCACATGTTCCCTGCTCTGGGGTCAGGGCTTTCATGAAGGGACTACGCGCCCCCCCCCCTTTCACCCATCCTTCCCTCAGGGAGGAAGGAGAGCCAGGAGCCACATCCACCTGTCTGGACAGCATGACGAGGGTGACGTAGAACAGAACCAGGTAGAAGTTGATCATGATCCTCAGATCCCTTGTCGAACAGCAGTGGCTGCCATGGATGACAGGCAACAATCAGCCCCAGCCAAGAGCAGGTACAAGGGGCAAGTGCAAGGATGGAAGGTGGACAGACCTCACTGAAGGAACATCTGAGCCCACCCCCAGGGAACCAGAATCAGCCACAACTGGGTCTGGAGGCAGCCAGAAGACCTCATGGGCACAGGACAGGGACTTGAAGATTGGCCCAAGGGCTTGGCAGGGGCATACAGTGAAGAGGAAACTTTTGTGGGTCCTTGATTTCCAGCCTCTTAGATCAGGGGAGCCCCCCATCTCCAGAACCCCACAGCCCAGCCTTTTTGTCACATCTGTCAAGGAACAGACCAGAAACACTGCTCCTGCCAAAACTAGCAATCCAGGACATGGCTCAGAGAGGGCCGGGTTGGCTCAAGTTTCCTCCCTCTCCCCGTAGGCCAACCTAGAACCTGGCAGCCCTCTGTAGAACCCTGAGGAACCCGTCGGTGAGGCACACCCACAGTGCTGCACCATGCCATTCAATAAGGCTGCCATCTCCCCTGCCCCTCTGCCCCCAGCGTCCAGGCCAAAGGGGTCTGCAAATGCAGATGTATCTCCACTTGACAAGACACTAAGACAAAACAGGTGCCACAGCTGGCCACCGAGGAGACGCACAGCAAGATGGGGCCCTACCTGAGGGTTCTGTTGATCCTGGTAAGGTTGGCTGGGCAATCGGTGTCATTGAGGTTGGCCAGGCTGTGGCCGCAGCAGGCAGAGAGATTGAAGAGTACCAGGTAAGCCACCAGGGCCACTGTCAGCAACAGAAACTTCAGCTCTAGGCTCATCCGCAGGAAGACAGAGCAGGCGATGAAGCCCAGGATGCAGCTGCAGCTGTAATACTGGGGAAATGGGGATATTCCTCAGGGCCAGGGGTCATCCCACCACATCCTGTCGCCAGGAACCTCCTCTCCAGAGCACAGCACAGTTACCACAGGACAACTGACCATGGCACCAACACAGCAAGCAAGGGAAGCCAGGGGTCCTGGTGTTACACTGTTCTGCAGTTTTACTTATAAGTGTGAGCTCATTTAGGGGAAAATGCTAATAAGTAAAACCAGAAGCCATGTGGGTCTCAGAGCAAGGTCCAGGCAGTGGTGTGCACACATCTGAACGATCCTCTGTCTCCTGAGTGCTTCCTAGCAGATCTCTGCCTTTGTTACTCTTGCTCAGCATCATGCTGTAGCCTCATGCTGCCCCCAGTGCAAAGACTGCACTCCTCACCTGGCAATCTTCAGCCACCCTGGATCAACCCTGCCTCTCTAGCTTCCTCTCCCGCTACCCGCTCCACGACACAGCTCCTGGAAATCCTGAGATATGCACACCTCAGCTCCTCACACTGACGACTCTTCTCACTCTGCCCCCAAATCTTTCTGCCCTTTAGATTCCTGCTCAAAACTCCCCGACCACTCACTACACTCTGCAAAGTTCAAGGCTCTCATTCTGCTTATCTTAGGCCACTCCAGGCACAGAATGTGGTTTGGTGTCAACCTATAGGGGACCCAGCACTGTCTTCATCACCTCTGAAGCTCATACGTGAAGCTTGCTGAGCTAAGCTCCTGCCTCCCTGCCCACCCCACAGGGTTTAGAGCAAGCAACCAGACCTGACCCAGATTTTCCCCAGCTCAGCAAGCCGAGACCCTGTCTCCTGCCCTTCTAGGAGACACTGGACTCAAGCCACGACAGCCATGGTCTCAGGGCCCAGAACCAGTACTCTTAACGCCAGAGCTGTGCCCACTGACAGGAGCATCTCGGTGAGGACATGTGGTTCCGCTGGCTGGGCTCTGCTGGTGCCTGTTCTGATGCACTCACCGGGAGAAGCTCCCTCCAGGTCATGTCTTCGCTCCTTGCAGTTTCGTTGCCCGCAGGCAGCCCCAGGGCTGAGTCAGGCATCATCAAGGGCTACAGAGGAGACAAATCCTCCTTAAGGTTGGTCCAGGGGATGGAGACCTGTAACCTGCCAGGGCCCAGAGAAATGAGCCCAAGATACCCACAGGCACCATGATGGCCTGAATCATGATGGCACCAGGAGCAGCTCTCAGCCCTTTCCCTGTGGCTCAGGCAGAGAGGAGCTGCCCCATACTCCCAGGAGCCCCTCCTCCTCTGTGGCCCTGAGGGGCACTACAGAACTAGAGAAGGAGCTGGAATGGGACATAACTCCTAGTGAGGGAATTGAGTCCCAGAGATGCTGTGACTGGACGTCCTCAGAGCCAAGGAAGAGGAATGTGATGTCAGGTCACTGGGTGGCTCAAACCTCAAACATCTTATCCTTATGAGATTAGCCAGACAAGCACCCTGGGTACTTCAAGTCCTCACTTGAGAAGGGTGAGGAGCTCTGGGCCTTCCCTGGGGACCTCACAGGGCCACCCGTAGAGCCCTACAACGGTTAAACCAGACACAAGGCTAATGCAATGACATATGAGGTCCCTGGGGTCAAAGGCAGAAAGTGCACCATGGCAGAAAGGTCCCCACTCTAGAACTGACCAGGTTAATGATGGCGATGGTGAGCAGGCTGCCGATGGTCAGCACAGCCAGGCACAGCCTCAGCAGGGGTCGTGTCTCCACCCTCTCAGAGATGGCCCGGAGCGTCCCCTGAATTGGGCAGCATCTCTGTGGAGACACAGGTGGAGTTACCCTGAGCACCAGAAGGAGTATGGAGTCTGCCTGGAGGTACATGTGAAGCCAGAACCCTCGGGAAAAGTAAACTCCCACACAAGACAGCCAGGCACCCAGTGCTTGCCAGAGCAAGGCTTGGACCCCCAGAGCTCACCCAGAGGGGCCCAGTCAGCCCCAAAGTGGGGAGGGAGAGGATGAAGGGGCTAAGGATGCACAGTACTACAGCTCAGGGCCCTCCACTCACCGTGAACTCTGAGGCAAAGCAGAGGCCTAGCACCAGCCCCAGCAGGCCGGCCACTAGCCCAAAGGACACACCCAGAGACGCCATCCTGGAGAGGAGAAAAAGACCTAAGTGCCTAGCACCCATCCCTCACCTCCCCAGCCAGTTTGCTGTGTTCAGTCGCCTGCTCCCACCGGAACTGCTATTCACAACCAGAGGTGTCTTTGAGAACTGTGGTCCAGGTGCCCCCCCCAATAATACCCAAGGCCTGCCTAAGACATAAAGATCAAGGTCACATTATGTCCCGTTGGACCAACCACAGAAGAGCTAAGCATTAATCATGAGCCTTTGGCCTTGGGCCTGGCACATAAAAATGATATAAAAGCATTCCCAGTTTTGTCTTTATTAAGCACATCTTAAACCACAGTATTAGCTTGGCCATTGGCCTAATGGGCCTTCTAGAAACCACCTTCACTCCCCACCCTCTCTGACCTTACCCCCATTATCTCTGTCCCCCAACACCAGGACCCCAGAGCCTAAAGCATGAATCCCAGGGGCTTCCCCAGCTCTGGCTGTCCTTCACCCAGGGAACCTCATTTTCCTGCCAGGGTCCACCCTGAAAGCACTCCACACCCCCAAGGCAGAGCTGCAAACTATAATACCTGCAGGGCACAGAGGCAGCAAGTGACTTAGAAGACAGAGGCAAGCAGGCAAGGAGTGACATTCCATGACAGGGAGTGTGGGCAACTCGGGGTGTGCAGCCCCCACTTCTGCTCCAGGGACAGGGACGCCAGGGTCTGCAGTCACTGAGTTCAGCAGGTCACCGCCCACACTCACCTGGGCATCACCAGGAGGTGGACGAGCAGGATGCAGAGGAAGACAAGGCCGGCACAGGCGAAGTCATAGCGGGCCCGGGGGATGGGCGCCAGGCGGTACTGGGGGCAACATGACTGTGAGGGGCTTTCAGCCTCTAGACTCAAGTTCATCATCTTGAAAAAATACTTCACATCCCTCCTTGAGCCCCGTGTGATGTCACATTTAGTAACTTCCATTCGTCTGCATTTGCAGATCCTTTTTCAGGTTGAGAAGCCATGCCTCCCCCTGTCGTATCCCTAATCAGGGCACTGGCTTTATTTCCATGGTCCTGAAGAGCACTCGGCCCCATGGACAGGAGCCAAGTCTGAGGCCCTGGGGCTGCTAGTCCATCTGACCTCACCCTAAACCAAGTTACCAGAAGACTGGGCCTGAATCCCTGACCTGCAGGTAAGAGATCCCATGTGACCCCAGCCCCGAGAGGGCCCCTGCCACGGTCAGGTTCAGAGGGCATCCTAGGCTAGCAGGAAGGCCTGGCACATTTGCTAGTGACCTCCCCCAGGGAGCTCCAGGGAAGGACCCTTCCCTCCAGTCCTTCCTCAAGCCGCTTCTGAGGGTAAGGGCAGCTCAGAACCTGAGAGGTGCAGGCCTCTGCCAGGTGAGGGCTGAATTACATGAGGACATGTGTGCCCCCAGTCACATGGGAGGCAGAACATGCTGGGACAGTCCTGCTAAGGCTGAGGCCAGATTTGGGGTTTTCCTCAATGGGAAGCCCATCCTGGGAGCCTGGGGCACTCAAGGGCCTCATCTGCTGAGATTCTGGCCATTACTGGAGCAAAAGACTTCCAAAAACAGTGTGAGCAGATCCCGGTGAGAGCTCCGGGTCAGGGAGTGAGGCCATCGGGCCAGAGCCCAGGCTGGGGCTGCACTGTCCATGCCGCAGCCAGCTGCAGGAAGTCCCCTCCCTGTGTAGCTGCCCTGGGACTTCCACCCCTGCACAGGCCTCACCTCGCGCTCGAAGCCCTTCTCCAGGAATATGGGACCAAAGGTGTAGAAGTCATCGGACTTGGAGCAGCAGGGCCTGGAAGACAGCAGTGTGAGGTGGGCACCCACGGCACCCCTCAAGAGGCTTCTGGGGGAAGGGGAGGAGCCACGTGGGCCACCAGGCTGAGGACACTACAGGAGCCTGCTCACATGGAGCCTCACCGTGTGGAGCTGAGCCCCTCAATAGCCGACAGCATCTCGTCGTCATAGGAGTCGTCCTCAGACCGCCCCTTGGGGGATGTGCTCCTGGAAACAGACACCCCCACTGTGTGGCCCTAGGCACCCACATCTGTTCACTCAGAGGAATGTGGGTGAGGTGATACACTGTGGGCTTACCAGAGTGTAGGGCCACAGGGGGTTGGGGCAGGGCGTGCTGAGGCCCAGAGAGTGCAAGTGAAGGCTCAGCCTCACCCGGAGGGCAGACTCCCAACCCCAGTCCTAGGGCTCCTCTGCTTCTCCCAGAGTCCACACACCCCAAAGCTCTCACCAACAGCCCCACTGGCCTTGCCCTGGGGTGCTCAGCTGGGTCACCAGCAGAGGAGGGGCCTTAGAAATGGTGGCCCCTAGAAATGCTCTGTCCCGAGATGTGGCTGGGTCCCAGACTGGTCAGGGCCACCTGCCTGGAGGAGGTGACCACAGCAGAACTTGGCCAGGCAGGCAGGGCACAAATGGACAGAAGAAAGGGTTGGCACACGCACCTGTCAGGGGTCCTGTGGCGCCGCAGGGGAATGGCCTGGAAGGGACCAGAGGAGAGGCTTCATTCCCCACACCCTGGCCCTACAGCCCCTCACAGCCTGGGTGTGTAGCCTAAAGTGGAACCAGGTGTGGAAGCACAGAGGACAGGACATTCCCAGCTCCCGGGAGCCCCTCCTACTGTCTGCCCTGCCCCAAAAATCTGGAGGGAGGTGGGGCAGAGTGCACCCACTTTACAGCCACATGGAGGCTCCCCGGCCCTTCTCAGGACCCACACCCAGTCCTCTGGTCAGGCTCAGGGCACCTACCTTGAGTCTCCGCCCGTTTGGGACAGGGGTCTCACTGCTGCTCACGCTGTCCCGGTGGTTGAGGTGTGCGAAGGGCCGTGCGGCACCCCAGGACTCAAGGTAGCGGGTCATGCGCACAGAAGCCCGCATCTTCAGGGCTGCATCCCCTTTGGGCTTGGGGAGGTGCTGGCTGGGCGGAGGCAGCTGCTGGCTCTACAGGCAGAGACACTGGTCTGTGCCACTATCCCTCTGCCACCCCTCTGGCTCCACGTGAAATGTAACCCAGTTACAGGAGGGCCAAGGCCAAAGTTGCAGAGGACCCCAGCTCAGTCTCTGCCCCTGCCCAGGTTGAAAAGAGGCTAGTGGTCATATAGTCGCTGCCCAGGGCCAGAGCCTGCTCTGTCTGCCAGACTAAGGGATGGGTTCAGGTCCTCACCCTAAGGCTCACCTGCCCCAGGCTCTGGGAACAGCGAGCCCTAGGGGCTGAATGCCCACAGCCCCTCCCATGAGACACCCCAGGAAGGTGACTCCCAGGGCAGCATCCTGCTCGCCAACCAACATGTGGCCAGCACATGCTCCTTCCTTCCTGTGGGGAGCAGCCAATGTGGGGATTGCTGGCCCGTACCCAGACATACCAGCCAAGGCACAGCAAAATAGCTTTCCAGAGTTCCACTCACATGGCCCCCACGTCATTCACCTGCTGGCTCAGCACCATCTAGGGACTCTGGCTTACCCAGGCAGTGTGTGAGAGGCCTGCCCTGCCCACTCCCCTACTGAGCCCAAACTCCCTAAAACAGCACCCTGGGACTTCCCCAGGCAAAGCTGGGAAAGGGGAAGGGAAAGAAAAACCCCTGGCTACCAGAAACAAGCCTGGGCCACTTTGCTGCCCTCCAGGAGTCCTGTCCCCAGGGCCCCACCAGCACCCACAGGCGAAAGCACCTAAGCCTCAAGTACTAGCCAAGCCAAAATAGCAAGAGGAGGCTAGAAACTTGTAGCCTCCTTTGGGGATAGAAACACTTAAATGCCCAGCCTAATGTCTGCATAGCCCCAGGGAATTCAGCCTTGGTAAGGGTCCCAGGGTCAGAAAAAGGAGATGCTGGATCTGGGGTATGGGGCAGTGTTCCTGTCACCCCCTCCACTGCTGCCAGTGCCGCTTGCATGCATGTTAGAACATCGGAGCCAGTCTCCAGCCCCTGAGAAATAGCTAAGTGTGTAATAAAGACCCGGGGCTCTGAGTCAACCCCACCTGTTGAAAACAGGTACGAGATTGGCATGAGGCCTATAAAGGGTAGGCACTGCCCAGGGGTGCCCACCAGGGCCAGCCCCCCAGGATGGCACACCCACATGCACAGATACAGCAAGTCAGGGCTGGCAGGTGTGGAGCTGGGGACAACCTCCATGTCCTCCAGGGAGCTGCATTTGGACAGCATGTTAGGGGCTCTGCTGCCAATTTTGCATCCCTAAAAGGGAGACAAGACGCTCCCCACCAGGTCCCCTCCAGGGAGATGTGCTGGGGTGAGGAAGACTGTAACAAGCCCTTCACACCCATTTGCAGCTATGTGAATAAACAGAAAGGGCAAGGGTGTACAGCCCGAGGCTGCCGTGCGGGTGTGGAGCTGTCTGCAGCCACTTCCGAGCAGTGGGCGCTGCTTCTCATCTCAAAGCCACCTGAGCAGCCACTCCATGCCAGTTGCCATCCTGGGCACATCGTGGACATACTGCAGGGGGAAGCTACCCACAGGACCTTATGGTAACAACAAATGCAGAGAAAGGCAAATAAGCAGGGTCCTTTGGGGCCGTGGGACAGTGAAGTCAAGAGATCAGGGTGGTTTTCCCCAGTGCTAACCCTACAGGAATGTGATATGATAGGAGTCCAGGGACAAAGGCAGCGGGGCCAGGGAGGGCTGAGTTGGGGAGTGGATGCTGGGGAGACTCGTAAGCTGCCCCCAAATGTGGCAGGAGAGAAAGGGAGCTGTAAAGAGCCCAGGGTGTGGGGCTGAGGCTCCTGAGCAAGCCCCAGTGCTGATTCACAGAGCAGCCACAGCATCGGCTCCTTCCCTGAAGCATCAGAGGGACCCCCCTGCCTGGAGCTGTGGGGAGCAGCCTGAGCGCCCTGAGCCAGGCAGACAGAGGTCAGAGCCGGCGCTGGAGCTTCCTGTCCAGGACCCACTCCCAGTCATTCCTGCTACGGTGAGTTTTGCTCAAAGCCTGTGTAGATTGTGGAAGTTGACGCTCCCAGGTAAATAAAGCGGCGACTGCTACTGCAGAGGGCCTGAGATGTGCCTGCTGCAATGGTGTGGCCGCAACTCGGCTCATGCTCTTCCTCAGGCAGTGGCACCTCAGTCCTTGCCATCCTCACACCCAGTGGCCCTGCCAGCCCCGTTCCCCACCACCTCTGATCTGCGTACCCGGGGGTCGATGACCAGGTAGGTGCGGATGTTCATTTCTTTCAGGTAAGGGTCCCGCTGCTGCCCCTGTCCATCTTCCACCTCGTAGGCCTTGTCCAGGTGGTTCAGTGTTGCCTCTGTGATGTGTACCCGGCTGGGAGAGACCCAGGTCAGACACAGCAGCAGGGCCCAGAGAGGGCTGGCACCCAGCTGGGGATGCATAGCAAAAGGACCAACCAGGGCCAAACCTCAGGCTGGCTCCCCAGACCATGTGCACACCGACTGTGTCCCCAGCCTCCACAGCTAACCAGCCCCAACCTCCCTCAGCCCACAGAGTGTTCCTGGGGTCTGATCCCACCCCACAAGCCTCACCCAGGGACTCCGGCTGCCTCCATCCTGTTAGCCAGGGACACGTCATGCGACCACACGTCGTACTGCCACTTGCGCAGCCCGATGACGCCACACAGCACATTCCCCGAATGGATGCCCACACGCATGCTGATGTCCACACCTGTGGCCTCCCGTACCTGCCTAGGGCAAGAGTGTAGTCACTCAACGCAGCTAGGACCAGGGGGGCACCTCCTGCTCAGGCGCAGGTGGAGGTCTTAGGTCCAGGCAGGAATGGAGGAAGGAAGCCACCTCCTCAGAGAGCACAGAGCATCTGTCTCTAAGAATGACAAGTGACACGGCCACCTTCAAGCTCAAGAGCTGGGCCAGTCCCAGGAGAGACTTGAGTGGGGGGGGGTGGGCAGGAAAAAGCAGGATCCAATGCTCTGGTCATGGTAGCTCATGTCAGTGGGCCTATGAATCCACCCCTGGCATCCCCTCTGGTAACCTTGCTGGGTCTGAAAATGCTGTTGGTATGCAGACGGGGTCTGGGCACCACCGGTGTGCAGCAGAGACAAGAGACATGTCCCAGGGTGCTCCTGTACAAAGCAGGAACCCTGCACATCACTTTATCACTTGGGCACAAGGATCCCCAAGTTAGAGCTTCTGGGGACCCAGGAGACCATGAGCAGCACCTCTGAACCCTGCTGACTGCAGGGAGAGACAGGGTACAGCAGAGACAGGGCACCACATGTCCAACAGGACTGAGATGGCTTGGAGCCAGGGAGCTAAGGGACATGGGCACACAGTTCAAGGCAAGCTGCCAAGGCCACACAGCGATCACACTGCGGTCACATAGGCGTGGTCCTGAGCCAGGCTGGGACCAGCACTGACTCTGGTGGTGACTCTCCCAGCAGCACAGGCCACTCTGGCAAGGCTTCAGGAAGTTTATGGGGGACACCTGGGAGCCATGGGCAGCCCTGCCAAACCCAAGCCTCCCTGGCCTCTGCCAGTTTGGTCCACAGGAGTCCTTCCCACAGAGCCCAGAAGACCTCGAGAGGGGCAGGGGGCTGGCGGGAAGGAGCCTGAGGGCCAGAGCCTGACTCACAGGAGCAGGAAGCAGATGGGACCTTCGGTTGCACCTGGCTCCAAGGGCCCCTGCTGTCCTCCCTGAGTCCCCCTCGTGCTATTGAGACTGTCCTGGGAGAGATGGCATGGGGCTTACCCGTCCTCCCATCACCAGTTCCGAGATCCTGAGATCTGAGGATGCAGTTCCAGGCAGAGCAAGAGCAGAGTTTGCTGAGGATCCAAGTCACCCAACTCCCAGCCTCCAGTGCATCCCCCACCTGCCCAGGGCCCTGGCACCTACTTAATGGCCTCGCATATGTCCAGCCCCATCTTCACACAGTTCCGGGCATGAGTGGGAAGGGAGACGGGCAAGCCTGACACACAGTAGTAGCAGTCACCCAGGATCTTGATCCGCATGCACTCGTTGGCCTACAAGCAAGGGGCCTGGTCAGTGGAGTCTGAGGCCACACGCCCAAGGAGCTAGCCTCTTACCACCCACAGCAGCTGCTTCTGAGCCTGGCAGGACTGGGGCCCCAGGGACATTGGGGGAACCCCAACCAAGAATGCAGGGGCGAAAGCAAGTGTTCACAAGGGCCTTTGCTCTGTTTCATCTGCCCATACCTTGTCTGAGCACCTACTGAATACCTGTGCTGGGCTAGGCAGTGGGACAGAGCAGAAAGGGAGACCAATGTGAACCCCTCAACTGTGAGCCACACAGGCTGGAAGAGCACTAAGCTGCTGCAGAGTACTAAGAGGAAATGAGGCCTGGCGAGAGAGGAGGTACCCAGGAGCAGAGCTGGAGGCCACTCGCAGAGTAACATCTGAGCAAAGACCCAAAGAAGTAGAGCGAGGAAGCCATGCCAGTACCTGGCGGAAGCACGTTCCAGGTGCATGCAAAGGCGCGGGGACCAGCAAGTTGTCTGAGACAACCAGGATGGGAAGGAGGAGGAAGGGTAGCAGGTGCCCTAAACCAGAGTCAGCAGGTGTCAGTTGCAGCCTAGAGATGGCCCTGCTTTGGAGAGTGCAGAAAAAGGCAGGAAGGAAGGAGGGTCGGAGAATGGAGAGGCTGCGTCCTCCTGAGAGAACCCAAGGAGCCAGTGGGGATGACTTTGGCCCGATCTGAGGCTGTGGTCCAGCCTCCACCCCACCACAGCCCTCGGCAAGGGCAGCCTCCAGTACCCAGGCCTTGTGGGTGAGTTTTAAGGACTCTGAGAAGGACCCTATGCAGACATGAGGCTCTGACCTAAAGTCCTGAAGTGCCTGCTCATTGATGCTAGTCCCTCGGCGCCAGCAGCAGCCTTACACTCTGCCTTGACCCCACAGTGCCCTCCTACAAGGTGCCATGGGCTGCCATGCTGCTGGACCATCTGTCCCAGGTCTGGATCATGGCCTGTGCGCATCTTTCCCTGGCCTGGGGATAACTGTCTGGTGTCAATGACCCAGCACCCTGGCATAACACAGCCTCCTCTCTTGTGTGCCTGCACGGCCCTGGCCCTGGCAGGTACACGCTGGGCACAGTGGCTTTAGTAGAGAGAAGGTGTCAGAGGAACTGTTATGTCTAAACCGTCCTGACATCCTCTCAAGCAGACATGTGGCTGGCCTGGGCTGTCAGGAATTCAGGGGAACTTAGCCACGTGCCCACACTGCTCCTCCACAAGCTGATGGGCCTGCAGTGTCCTTGACAGTGGGAAGTTAGAGGGCAGGGTCCTGAGCCTTGGGCCCTGAGAAGAGGTAGGTATTTCGGGATCTGATCACTGACAGCAGTAAAGGCTGGGGTCACCCTGCTTGTCTACCTGAAAACTGGAGAAGCAATTGAACCAGGGCTCAGGGATCTGCGGGGAAAGGAGAGGTGTCCAACATGGGGACACAATGTCCTGCTGGCTCTGAAGCCAGAGAGCTCCTGAAGGAAGGCTCCAGGGTGGCCTAACTTCTGAGCCTCTCAGTCCACAATGCTCTCCAGGACACCACTGGCCAGGGGTATCTAACACTGTTGGTTATCCTCAGTGATGGGGAGCTTGGCCCTGTAAGGGGGAGCCTGCTCCTGGTGGGGCAGTCCCTCTCAGGACTGAACATCTCTGATCATGAAGAATTCTTTGCAGGGAGGAGCCTGAGCTTGTCTCCCATCAATTCTGGACCACTGTCCCTCCCTAAAGTCACCTGAGGGCCTCCTAGAAACTCTGATGGGTGTAGACACTAGCGCTGGTGTTTTAGCTTTCCAGGTGATTTACACGTGCAGCCAAGAGAGGGAGCCACTGCCTTACACCTCCCCTGTAGTCCTACTTAGTTAGGGGCAACGACTTCCAGAAAGTCTGCCCTAACCACCTGCCCAGCCCCAGCACCGGCTTTAAAACACATGAGCAACCCAAGAGCAGCCCAGGCTCACAGGAGCCAGGAAGCCTCAGGCCATTTGGTAAATTAATGAAAAATCCTCCTGTCTGGTACAGCTGTGCCCCTCAGTAGTATCCCTGTCCCCTGAATACCTGGCTCTGCATCACTCTAAGGCACACAGCTTTCTGTCCACATGCTGTTCTCCTATCCAAAACACCATTCCCTCTCCTCTTTGGATCTCTTTTTTAGGTTTTTCAAATTTTCCTGTGCACAGGATTTACTTGGCATCTTGTGAAAAGTAGGTTCTGGGTGACACAGGGCACCTGCAGCCCTCAAGACTGCCAGGTGAGACTTTGCATAGGGAGGAGGAAGCCACCTTCCACAGGTGGCTGAGTGCCCTGCCTGAGCTCCTGGACCCTATCACCCCAGATGTGTGCAGCACCTCCCCACCAGCCCCACCCAGTGTTGGGGAGCAGGATTCCTGCAGCCTTGGCCACCACATAACAATTCTCCCAAACCTCATCTGGGGTCTTGAGAGCAAGAATGCTAAAACTCAGCCAAGGGTCCAGTCTCCTCACGGGGCAGGGGCCAGGCTCACCTTGGCGATCTGGTCAAACTTGCCGAACAGCTCATTCAGCATTACCACAAGCTCTTTGGGGGAGCAGTCGCTGGCCAGTTGAGTGAAGCCCACGATGTCTGCGTACAGGATACTGGGGGCAGGCCAGAGTCAGGGTCAGGACCAAGGCCTCGTGAGGCCCAGTCAGTCCTGGACCCCCATCTGACAGGAGAGATATCCCAGCCATAAGGACAGAGCAAGTTTCAGAGGCTTCTCATGACAGCAGGACAGAGTTGACTCTGGCAATAGTGGCCCATCACTGCAGACATTCCAGGGGGTAACGCCCAGGCAGCTCTGGACCCTGGTCCCCTTCTTGTACCCAGATGCTTGTCCTATGTAAGACCAGAACTAAACTCCTCTTGTTCCCTTAAGCCTGCAGAACACCCATTCTGCAGATGGGCAGACTGAGGCTCCAGGGGGAGAACAATAACTCCCACCACATCTCCCTGCCCCGCAACCCAGAGGGACAGCAGTAAGGCAGTAGCCTGGGACTGCATGCAGGGGTTCAGAGATGGGCGAGCTCACAGCATGCATGGACTAACTCCTCTCTGCACCCTCACGCAGTGCCCTTCATACCCTTCCGATCAGCCCAGGACACGGTCAGGGCTGGGGGCTTCACCTCCCATTGGGGGGATAAGGGATCTTCCCTACCACCAGCCTGATTCTCATATTTCAGAATCTAATCTGATCCTGGCTCTGGTGAAGCAGAGAGGGGACTGAGGCCCAGGGAGGAAACGTCACCGCCCAGCCTCATGTTGGTGGGGCCTGAACCTTGTGATGGGCAGAGGTGACGCCCAACTGACCCGGGACATGGTGGCCCCAGCTCCCAGGGGACACACCCACCTGACGTTCTGGTGCCGCTTGACGTAGAGGCTGTGGAAGTTGTTGTCGGGCATGTAGCGGCGGTCCCCACCCTCCTTGAGCCGCTCAATGATGGCCAGCTTCATGCCCATGGAGATGTGGGCTGGCAGCACGGACAGCAGCAGGTTCTCCTGGGTAAAGGCGGGCAGACCAGTAGGGTACCAGTAGGGTGACCATCGGGACAGGCAGGATGGCATCAAGCCCCAGGCTGGCCTACTTGGCCTCTATTCTCCCTGCCCACCTTACCAGTCTTCCCATGATGCCAGCTCATCCTCTGCAGGCTTACACCCAGCATTAACCCAACCCAACAGTTTTTCATGTCCCTAAAGGCCCAGGGAGTGGGAGCCATGGGGGTCTAGCCAGGCATGCTGTTACAGTTTAGATTTTAAATCTCACCCAAGAGTCTCATGGCTCCCAAGGTGGGGCTTTCGGAAAGTGGTTGGATTTTGGGGGTGCTACACTCATCAGTCAATGAATCCATTACTAAGCTCATAGCTGACTGCACTGTTAGGAGGCGGAGCCTGGGTGAAGGAGGCAGGGCCTGAGTGAAGCCGGGAGGTCCTGGGAAGTTGGAGAATGTCTCCCTCTTTCTGGCTCTTCCTGCTCTCTCTGCTTCCTGGCTGCCATGAGGGAGCAGTTTTGTTTACACCCTTCCACCATGCCATTTCTGCTTTAAAGTCAGCCGACCCTGAACCTTCTGAAATCATGAGCCAAATAAATCTCCTCCTTTAAAGTGCATGTGTCAGTCAGGTATTTGGTCCCAGGCATGGGAAACTGACTAAGCAGGCTGGGTGCTCCAAGAGCTCAACAAGCGCCTGCTGTCTAACAGAGAGGAGAAGGATGGAGTTGTGCGGAGGGTGGAGGTCTGGGGGCGGGGCAGGAAGACTTGGCAGGGCCTGGCATGGATCCAGAGGAGCAGGGTCCTCACCTGCTGGCGCTTCTCAATGCGCAGCTTCTTGCGGATCTGGATGCACTTAACAGTGTAGGTGAAGAGGTCCCGGGAGGCATCCTGCATCTGGTGCTTGTGGAAAGCACCCGTGACATTCCCACACAGGAGAATAGTGGCATTGGCCAGCAGCTGAGGGCAGGCAAGGCAAGGCATTCATCCTTGCACATCCATCCCTCCCTGGACCTCGCCCCCTTGGCAAATAGGAATGAGTGCTTTCCCATTTCCCGGCCCCCAACCCACACAGATGGGTACTGTTCCTGGGGTAGGCAGAGACACTGAGGCCCAGACAGGGGCTGATCTGCTCATGAGTCACTGTGACTGCAAGACCAGGCCTAGGCCCTCCCTGAGTCCAGGGGCACCTGTCTTGCCCAGTAGGGCTTGGCCAGTGGAGGCCAGGGAGGCCAGACACTTCCAAGGAAGCAAAAGCGGCCGCTTCACAGAGCCAACAGCAGTCATGGGAGGGGGAAGGCAGAATGGTGGCCCAGGGCCTCCACTCGCGAGTGGGCACCCAGGTGAACTAGAGGCACAGAGTCCTCTCAGACATCTCCACATCCCTTCTGCCCATGAGCAAGTGTATGCACCACACAAGCAGAAGATGTGCTGCCCAGGGCCATGTCCCCTGCCCATCAAGTCAGGGCCCTGGGAAGACCTCAGGAGCAGCCCTCTCTCCACAGGGTGCCAAGGTGAGCAGCACAGGGTGGAACCCAGCAGACTCAGAGGAAGCCCAGCCCAGCCTGTCTGCAGGCTTGGTTCCCAAGTCTCAGTTTCTGATCGCCCTGACCACACACCCCACCCTGGCCCTCGGCCTGCCACTCACCTGCAGCCCCATCCCAACGCTGGGTGCTGTGAAGGTGCCAAACACCAGGAGGTGGGAGATGGTGGAGACCACACCCACAGTGATGGCTGCCTGCATGCTGAAGGGCAGCAGCGTGTACACCACGAAGACCACGAACAGGAAGAAGGGTACCTGGAGACCGGGTGTCAGGAGACAGGTTGGCCGCATGGCCTGGGCCTGGAGACAGCCTAGCATGAAGGTGACAGCAGGCCCCACAGCCTCTGGACTCCTGGGGCCAGCTCTCCCAGGGCCCTCTGAGCTGGGGCAGCCCAGCACCTCTCTCCCTTTATGGCCACACACAGCGGCAGACACAACAAACACAAAGCACCAGCCTGCACCAGTCCTCCTTTCCTATGCACTGTCTATGACAGGGCCCTGTGGCTGTGACCAGGGCACCCCTGCTTGATGCCCTGACAGGATGGGATGCTGGCCAGAGCCCTCCTGTGCTGCCTGAGCAGTGCAGCCCCACCTGCCCCCTAGCCCCAGTGGGCCCTGAACCCTCCCTGCCTCCAGTTATAGGGTTTCAAGAGCCTCACTCCCCTGGGCCACCGGAGCAGCTCACAGAGCAGAGCCATAGTTCCTCCACAAGGCAAGTCATATCTGGGACACAAGCTGGGTGAGAAGGAGCCTTTCTTTTAGATAAGGGCAGGTAACCCGGTGGGGAGCAGCCTACAAGCTGCTGCAGCTACCTCTGCCCCCACCTGGGGGGAGCCACCCCAGGATGAGCCAGTAGAGGAGAGCAGAGTCAGGAAAAGTGGGGTCTGGCTACCCTGTGGGATCCTTCCTGGCACAGGAGCTGGTTGGTGCTCTGGGCTGGAGCTCCATCCACTGGGACCAAGTGAGGGTCCCTCCAAAGGCCATGGCCAGACTTCCAAGTGGATGCTCCTCCCAGCCCAGCCCCATCAGCAGACTTGGGGACAGAACTAGTCTGGGGCCCGTCCCGGACCCAGCCTGTAGCACCCAGTGTGGGGGATGAAGCTGAGGGTGTGGAGACTCCGTCCCACCCACCCAGTTACCTGCGCCCATGCACAGGCCGCCCTCCTCCATGCGTTCCAGGCCAGCACATAGCCCAGTGTCACCAGGCAGGCCCAAGTGAGCAGCGCCGAGGCCCGGAGCCATCGCCGGACCAGGCACTCCATGTACACCAGCACATAGAGAGCCACAAACACAGCCAGCGTCACGAATGCCGTACCCAGGACAGCCTGCTGCTCCGAGGGATCCTGGCAGGGCAAACAGACACAGAAATCTTGAACTTACGATCCTCCTGCTTTAGCCTCCTGAGCAACTGGATAACAGATCTGTCCCACTGCTCCTAGCTGCACCTGACTCTTCAAAAATAAACAGAGGAACCAGGTGTGGTGGCACTTGCTTATCCTTCCCAGTGCTCTGGGGAGACTGAGGCTGGACAACTTAGTGACTGAGTATGGAAATAAAAAATGTAAAAAGAACAGGAGATGTGGCTCAGTGCAAAGGCCCTGGTCTCAATTCCCAGTACTGAAAAGAAAAAAAAAAGGAATAAACAACAGGTTCCAGTGGATGCAGGCAGCGGGTGCCCCTCTCATTGTTGCACTGGGAGGGGTTGTGGTGAAGGCTCAGAGGGCAACACAAAAAGACAGCAGAGCAGCTGGCACTGTGCCCACAAGGGCTGGTGCCCCACAGACCTATGTACTCTGTGAGGGCAGGGGCCTGAGCCAGGGTGGCACAGTGGGCACTCAGGGCCACCCAGGGAGTAAAGGGAAATAAGTGCTTGGTGGCTGCAACCACTGAGGTCCAGGCACCCAGTGAAAGTTAACACCCCTGTCTCTGATGTCTGCTTCTGGAACTCTCTGTAGTTACAGTCACTAAAAAGGAAATGAAAAACGCAGGCCCTCATCCCAGCCGCATTTCAAGCCACCATAGCTGCACATAGCTAGCTGCTGGGACGAGGCAAGCGCCCCTGGCAGTGATGATGGTGGCGGTGTCTGCTTGGGGAGCTGGGATCAGAAGGATTCTGAGCTGGGGTAGCATGTGTCTGTGGTCTCAAATATTTAACAGTCTGAGGCAGGAGGAATATTTGAGCACAGGAGTTTGGGGCCAGCCTGGGCAACATAGTAAGACACGTTCTGTCTTTAAAGAAAAAAAAAAAAAAAGGAATCAGGCATGGTGGCTCACATGTGTAATCATAATATTCTGGAAGGCTGAGGTAGGAGGATTGCAAGAGCAAGTCCAGCTGGGAAACGTAGCCCAAAATAAAATATTATTAAAAGAAGGGCTGGGGAGGTAGCTCAGCATGAAAAGGGGGAGAGCTGCTCCCATAGCCAGCCTGGGCAAGGAGCTCAGCTTTAATAGCATCTGTCACGGCTCAGTCTGAGTCGGGTCTTCAGACGGATCAGATGTGATGATGGAGAAAATGAGAGTAATTAATTTGGCCCAGTAAATGTGCACTAAGCTCACTCCCAAATTCAACCTCCAAATTCAACTCAGATTAACCTGTGTTCCACACACTGCGGGTCACATTCACCAACGAGGAAACAGAAACTTCAAGAAGATAACAACTAGATAACAACTCATGAGCACAGGGCACTCCTTGCTGTTGCCCAGCGACTTACCCCGTGGCTGAAGGCGATGGCCACGAGTGCCACACAGGCAGCAATGGCCACCACGAGGAGCAGGAGCAGCAGTGGCCCGTGCTGGCTGGTGAGCCGGTACTTCTCATAGAGCTTGGCCTGGTCTGGGCCCTCCTCGCCCTCGTTGAGCAAGTAGCGCCCCTTGGCTGGCATCCTCCAGCCCCAGCACTCATCCCCCGCAGCCTGAGGGCATCTGCCAGCCAGCACCCTCCTCTGCGGGCCTAGGCCTCCAGTCTCTCCAGGGGTGGCTGGTGGGGCTGGGCAGGCTGGGCCTGCAGCTCCATGGACAGCACGAGGCTAGGTGGGTGCACAATGCTGCTGGAGTCCAGGACAGGCCAGTCAGACACGCGGGGTCCTCAGCTCTGTGGAGACAAAGCGGAACCAGGATTTGACCTCATGGGTCACACCAGCAAAGCACTGCCTCAGAGAGAGTAAGGATGAGCTGAAGTCTTCCCAGAACTGCTCTCTCCCTCACTGTGGCCACAGCCACATGAGATACTTACAGATCAACTCAAATTAACTGAAAGTAAAACAGAGCCAGGCATGGTGGTGCACACCTGAAATCCCAACACTCGAGAGGCTGAGGCAGGAGGATCATCATGAGTTCAAGTCCAGCCTGGGCTCATAGTGAGCTCAAAGCCAGCCCAAACTAAATAGAGCTTGTCTTAAAAAGAAAGAAAGAAAGAAAGAAAGAAAGAAAGAAAGAAAGAAAGAAAGAAAGAAAGAAAGAAAGAAAGAAAGAGAAAGACAGACAGAAAGAAAGGAAGAAAGAAAGAAAGAAAGAAAGAAAGAAAGAAAGAAAGAAAGAAAGAAAAAGATAAGAAAAGAAGTAAAAATAAATAAAAGTAAAACAGAAAATCCAATCCCTCAGTCACACACTATTCAATATTCAAGGACTCCTGGACTGCAAGTGGCCCCTGGCTAATTCTGTGTGCAACCTAGAACACATCACTTCTATCACTGCAAAGACCCAGACAGCACAGCAGCACTCTGGAAGTCTGAGTCACTTCCATGCCTGGGCAGGAGTCCATAGTTTCAGCAGCTGCTTAATCAGGACAACGCTTTGGGGTCAGGTCCAAGGCTGCTGCCAAAGTTTAGACAAGCTACAGATCTGATTCCTACGTGAAATGATTTTTAAATGTTGGAAGCTGCTAATTTAAAATTTCTAAGTGGTGGAGTCCATTAGTCTGCTACCTCTAAACCCAAACCAGTGTGTATTCCATAGGGGCACTACCTGAGCTCCACTGTGTGTGCCCAGACCAGGGAACCCCTCCAATAGCTGTCTGCAGTAATCACAGCAGCAGCTCCTGTGATGACGGGCATCGCACACAGGGTCACACTCAGCTTCATAATCTATAGGAGCCACCTCCACTGAGCCAGAGAGGCAGAGTAGCTTGCACTAGGTCACACAGCCAGAGCAGGTTAGTGGAAGCACTACAATACAAACTTGGGTCTGCCCACTCCCAAACCACACTTTCCCAGCCAGGCTTCCCCACCAACATCCCAGGGGACCCAGCCAGATGCCATGAGGGCACCAACAGCAACAGTGCCAGCCCCTCCGGCTTGGGGCCAAACCCCAGGGCACTGGATTGCCAGGCTGGGACTCTAAACCCCAAAGCGTGCATCCACTGTCCAGGCAAAGCCTCAGAATGCAGCCTCAGGCCACCAGAATGCAGGCATGTGGTGCGAGTGTGCACTCACACCAACCCCACACACTCACCGCATGCTGCCTCACACCCGCAACGCCAGCCCGCCCTGCTGGGGCACAGAGCGAGGCTGTGGAGACCTGGGCCATTGTAAGCACAGCTCTCAACATCTAAGTAGGCCATTTCCCAGGCAACAGGCTGGATGGCAGGGGGACAGTGTGTGGCCTTGGGCACCGGGATCCAGTCATGCAGGGGCCACATCCAGCTCCTGGGATGAGCCAGGCAGAGCGAGGCAGGGCTGGAGGCTGCAGGGAAGACTGGCTTCCACAGGTGACTCCTCTCTCAAGCCACCTTGAAGCCAGAGCCACTGGCACCAGGAAGGTTTCGAGGTTTCTCTGTCTAATCACCTGCTCCCCTGCCAGTCACTAAGGCCACTGGCAACTAAGAAGGCCCCCCAGGCCCCGGACGCAGGAATCCTTTTACCATCTCTCTACACAAGACCTAAGCCTCGGCCTGCACAGCTCGGTGGTAGGGCGCCCACTCATTTCCTCTCTGGGCAGGAGACACCCCCGTTGGGCACATCTCCTGGCTACCAGTCCTCCCTTTGGTCCAGCCTAGCCTTGCCTCCCCATCCCAGACTATGGTCCTGTCTGAACTCCAAAGCCACTTGGACAGATCAGGGGCCCTTGACCTGGAGGGAGGACAGTGGTCCGAGAAGCGCCTCACTGTCCAACTGTCAGCAGAACAGGGCAGCACCCCATTTTATAGAGGAGGGAACCCTACCATGGTTTGGATGGGGGAGGGGGTTCCCACTTCTGCTGGGCAGCTGCTGGTTCTTGATTCAGAGATCCCTGCCTGGGATGGATTGCTCAGCACGGCCCCTCCCAAGCCCTGACCCCAAAATTACCCCAGTGGGAATCCTCTTTGGGACATTTACCACCCAGGGCAAGAGCGGCAGGCAGAACTGAGCCACCCTGGGAAAGCCTACTGGAGAAGGGGAGAAAGATAAGCTGACACATGGGGCGGGGTGGGTGCAGAACTGGGGACTAAAGCCAAGGCCTCTGCACTCAGCTGCTCCCTGTTTCCAGCTATCAGTTTTTTTTCTTATGTATTACTGGGAATTGAACCCAGGATACTCTATCAGTGAGCTACATTCCCAGTCTTCTTAACATTTTTTTTTAGAGAGGAGCAAGGTCAAGCAGTAGGATGCAAGAGGCCTGCTCAGGAAGCCTAAGAGCCACCCACACCCCTCTCCCTGACTCCGCTCTCAGGCAGAACTGTGTTCCCCAGCAGACACACACAGGCTGGAACTGGGTGGGGTCCCAGCTGAGGAGCTGCTAGAGGCAGGAAGCTGGGCCCCTTGTGGGGCTGGGCCTAGGGTTCAGGGAAGACCCCTCCTCGGTGCAAATGACCCACAGTACCCGCAGGCCCACTGTGTTTTTGAGGCAGCTGTGCTAGACACCTCCACTGTCACAGGCACAGACAGACTGCTCTGGCCGGAAGCCCAGCCTGGCTTACTCTGGCTGACCTCAGCAGGACACAGAGAGACCCAGGCCTCGGCCCTAGTGACCTCAGAAACGGAAGCGGGCGCCTGAGGCGTAAGGAGCAGGCAGGCCTGCCAGGGAGGAGAGGTCCCATCAGGCCCCTGGGCCATAACCCCTGTGGCTGCTAAAAGTCACAAGCCCACTTGCCTCTCCGGCTGGCTCAGCTACCCAGAGCATGGGGTGTCACAGGCAGATTTCTCCCCACTTCACTGAGGGAGACTCACATCATCACCTCTCTCAGACATCCTGAGCCTGGTGCAGGTCCAGCCAGCAGCCACTTTGCCCAACTCAGGCCTAAGCCAAGTGGGCACCCAAGAAGCCCAGGGACCAACAGTCCCAGTCTCACTGGCCTCCGCCCTCTTGCCTACCTGTCCCCAGAACCCTGTAGATCTCAGCCCTCTGTGCGCCTGACATCCCTCCCCACACCTTCCCTCCCAGGTGCATCCCTGACTCCGTTCAGCTCCGTCTACCTCACAGCCAGCCCCTGCCTCTAACTGCCATGGCAGGATCTGCGTATCTGCCTGCCCAATGCTGGTCCTAGCAAATGCTTGGGACAGTGGCAAGGGTGGGGAAGGCAGGCAGGGCCAGGGAGGGAGCGGCCAGAGTGCAGGGAGGGAATCCGCTGGGGCAGAGGATGCGTGCAGAAGAGGGGCTGCCCCAGAGCAGGGTGGCGCTTGCCTCACCCCTCTCCCTGGCACAGAGGCACCGAGGGAGAAGGCTCGTCCTCCCCAGCGCTGTACCACCAGCCTGGTCCTATTTCCTCACAGGTCAAATCAGGTCTGGTTACCACGTGGTCTGCAAAGGAATAATGGCAAACAGGCCACGCTCTGGGGAAGGCTCAGGACCCAGGGCTGGGCAGGGCCCAGGCTGCAGAGAGGGGGTGCAGGCAGGACGTCCCACCCTACACTCATCTGCTGACGCCTGCAGAGCCAGCAAGCAGGGCAAAGCTGGTGCTCCCAGCCGGCTCTGCATGATTCCCAAGCTGATGCCACCTTGGGGACCACAGTCCTGGTCCAGAGACCTGCACATCAGTCACCAACATGTGCTGTGACTGAGCAAACCTCTGGCCATATCTGGCCTCAGTTTCCCCTCCCTCTAAGACCCAGCTCAGGACTGGGTTGGGGCTAGAGGCTGAGTCAATAAGGATGAGAGAGAAGCTAAGGTGGCAGGGGGGACAGGCCTGAAGTCCTCCTTTTCCACTTCCTTCCCGAGGGAAGCATGACCCGGGCAGTCTGTCCTCTAAGTGAAATGTGACAAGCTGGCCTTCTTGAGTGCCAGCAGTAACGAGATTGGTATGGTGTGCCAGCAGAAGTTGGTCATTCACTTGGGCACCTACACCTGTCCCTTCAGCAGGGGCACACAGACACCTCCTGGATGCCAGGATCCAGGCCAGGAAGAAAATATTGAGGCCTCGGTGCCCTTCCCTCAACCGGTGTTGCTAGGACTCTGCACACAGTATCCAGGCAACAGTGTTTGTAAACCGACTAACTAACCAACGAACCAGGTTCCCCTATTGGAAAGAACATCCACATTTTCGCCTGATTCTCCCCGCCCCTTCCACCATTTGTGATTCATTTCTTCACATGCACCCTCAGTGGACTCCTCCCTTTAGAATGGAAACACTTTCACGCCTACGCTGAACAGATTTCTGATCCCTTTCCCTTGATAAGGAAGAAGAGAAGAGGGAAGTTGGCTGGCCTTACATGGCCTCCCAGCTGACTTCATGCTCTGCCCAGGGGCCCACCAGGCAGTAGGTCCAGTGACACCAGGAATGAAGAGGATGGACGATGCAGGACAGACCCATTTCTCTACTCAGTGGGAGGCCAGGGAGGAGGGCAGTGAGTCTTAACTCTGGCCCTGGGAGTCGCCCATCTAGAAGGAAGGCACAGTCTGCAAGACAGTGAGCCAGCCGGACTGAGGACCCATCCGGGATGGGCTCCAAAGTCAGGTGAGACCACGCACCAGAGGGAGAGGGCGCCCACGGAATACTGTGACAGGTACAGTCGGCCTTTCTAACACAACCCCATGAAGCCATGAAGAAAAGACTGGCAAACTTCACTGTGTAAATAAATGAAATTTACTACAGGATTAAAAAAAAACACTAACAATAGCATACTCAAAAACAAACGGTGTGGATAAGGGAAACTACTGTGTAGCTCAGCTCATTTCATA